AGAGAGAGAGAGAGCAAACATGTAAAGTGTTTTAGTGAATGAGATAAAAGATATATATGTGACAGTAAAAAAAAGAAAATCCTAAACATACAGTATACGGTTAAGCAGATTAACATGTAAACTGGATAAACTTATCCGTGTGAACGTCTGACAATTCCCATTGATAACGGCACATACGACGATTCCAAAGTTTATCAGAGCTCGATCTTTGTTAGACTAACGAATTATAATTTTAGATTGAAGGTGTCTTCTTCTAAATTCAAATGAAAAGAAGTATATATTATATTTTTGGCATAAAAAATTGAAATTTAAATAGTCCCATTTTTAAAATGGATATGCAGTATCTTTATGTACGAGGGCCATTCAAAAATTACGCGGACTGTGCTATTATTTACTCTTACAGACGTCATATAGTTATGAAATTTCACAGAAATATGTATCTTAAAGATTCCAATAAATTTTAGGCAAAATTTCTGTATTTTAAAAAAATTCTACTAAAATTATCGCTGATGGAGAGGAACGGAGCACGACCAAAAATTTGAAACAAAAGCATGCGGAATCCAATATTTAACTCATTAATTTTCTATAATTCGCGATATTTTTCGACAATTTTCTCAAATGTTTCTTTAAATTGTTCTGTTATTATGTATTTAAATTTCTGACATGATATTTTAAGTACTAACAGAAATATAGTGATTTTTCTCTGATGCGATTCCCGTGAAAACGACTATGAAAATGACGTCTCCTGAATTGACGGCGCACCACACTTTTGTTAAATTATGTGTAATGCTTGAGATATCGCAAACATAGATCCAAAATATGCATAATAAAACATGTAGTAAACTAGTGTATTCCTGACATTCGTCCACAAATAGCAAATTGAAATTTTAGACCGTTAGACCTTTGTAAAAAGGCTATACGGGAGAACGGGAAGAAGATTATCGACGAAAACTTTATACGGACTGTAAAGAACGTGATTAAGAGTCACCAAAATCACCCTATATCTCATAAATACCTGCAGTTTTTGGTTTTAAAACAAAAAAAGAATATTCTTTATTTGTTTAATAGATTTTAAGCTTGACAAGAAATGGTATTTGGATGTTGAGTAGATAAGGTAACTCAAACTGTACAGGAACTCTTGGGAAAATGTTGAGAAAATGAAAGCTCAATCACATATTTTTTATAATGCCTGTGACGTCGGAGATTTTGCTGCTCCGTGACTTGATGATATGTCCTGAAAAATGACTCAAAATTGACACCAATTTACAACATTTTGATATGAAATTATGAAGACCATATAAGTAAAGATTCTTTTATATTATGTGTGACATTTTGTCCGATTATGTCGTCAAATATTTCTTCTGTGCAACAAGTCCGCGTAATTTTTAAACGGCCCTCGTATTTAATATATAATATTATTATTTGATTGAACAATTTCCATCTCTCTGATTGGCTGAGATCTAACTATGTTAGAAAAATACTACGTTTTATTGACCTGCACGTGACGTTCCAGGTGAATACAAGGATTTATTTCCTCTACATTGATCTAAAAATAGATCGGGAAAATCCAAATTGATACAAATTGTTTTGGAAAGCTATTCAAAGGACTATGGCTTTTTTCTCATGTGAACAAAAGATAAGTGAATATACATTTTCGAGTGAGGGTGGTAAGAGGGGATGCAGGGACCCCCCTCCCTCCAACGCTTTTATTGAATAACAATTCTTACTTTTTGGCTGTCAATTTTCCCTAATAATACTCATTCCTTTCAAAATCTATCCTATATAAAAAGGCTAATAAAACAATTATTGCTGTTTTTTCGGTCAATACAATGATTTAGCCATCTTCGAAGTACACTATTCACTCCTTTATATTGTACTCCTCAGATGGCTAAATCATTGTATTGACCTCAAAACAGCAATAATTGTATAATATTTAAATTTCGAATCTTCGCTGTTTAAAATTTGTACAAGAATCTTGTACAACGAGCGTTGACAGAGGTGTTGTGAGCGTAGCGGAAGGTAACTCTGGATAGAGAATGTTAGGACTGTGTCAGTGCATTCACTTTGAGTGAACTGAAGTCCATAATTGTATAACATTAAATAGTGGATCTTTTATATTTTCCCCTTTTCACAAAATATGAACCACATATCCATACAAGAATACCTGGACTTGCTATTAAAAGATATGTATCATTGATTTAATTTATAGATCAAAAATGGATTTGAATTTTTACTCAGTAAAGAGATTTTTTTTCGAATATCATCTCTTTTCCATCAACTTAATACATGTAGATATCCGAGTAGATATTTAACGTTGTTTAATGTTGGAGTAATTTTTTCACGCATATGGAGACTTTACCAGTTGCCCCTGGCAAGGTGGCTGGGAGGGATGAGGTGTATATTCAAATCAAAAGAGATGGATGGACAAGTCGTGCAGAATACCTATTGCTTCAGATAATATAAAATACATGCATATTCAAAATATGAATTCATTATTCAGAGTAAAGTTCACATTATGGAAATAAACTACTGATATTCAAAATATTTCTGAGAAAAAAAAACTCTGAGGATAAACTTTATTTCAAAGAAAAATGAAGCGAAGACCTACTAATATAAAAGTAGGAGTCAGGCAAGGGGATAAACTAAGTCCAAATCTACTTAAGACTCTAATCAATGATTTATAAACAAATTATATAATAACAGTGATAACGCTGTTGAATTGGGACAGTCTTCATTAAGTTGTCTATTGTATGCTGATTACTTAGTGTTAATTTCTAATACTAAAGATGGTCTCTAGCTATGTTTTGATAAATTGAGTGATAACTGTGATAAATACTGCTTAACTATCAATCTTAAGAAAAAAAGATTATATTGTGTAAAAATGGCTTAAAAACAGCCAGATGACTTTTCACTTATAATATAAAAATCAATTAAGTTATTGAAGAGGCAACATCGTCCAATAGGAGTTCAATTTATCAGCTGGTTCTAATCGGATGAGATCCTAAAAAAACAACATATCAGTTCATCAGGTTCATTTACAAATTGTCATTCTGATCTCTACAAGATATTTCAAAATACTTAAATGCTTTGGCAATCATAAAACCCAAAGTTCACACACTAGTACAATTATTTTGATCATACCATAAATCCAGTTCTATCCAGTATAAACATTTGATAACTATTTGTGGTGTTGATTAGAATGCCTCAAATACGGCAATTTTTGGCGAACTTGGTCGTTTTCCTATGAATGTTGCTATATAAGAAAACAATGCATTAAATAATAATAAAAAAAAAGTACCCAAAGCAGTAGTATTTATTTCATTCTAAATAAACTAGACATATTCTAGTATAACATCTTGTACATGATGAAAATATCGTCTTTCAATATAGTTGTTAATAAATTATGCCACAAGATGCATCAGATAAGTTGTAGGGAAGCAAGTTGGCAAGCTCAGATCATATGCCCTCTTTAAATCTAAATTCTGTACATATTTTTTTCTGTTATAAGTAATCCTTGAAATAATTTACGGACTTTAGAATCAGCTCATATCCTCTTGCTAAATTTACTATCTTCAAGTGTTGAAGACGAAATCCATTTTTTATTTGATTGTTCAGCATATCAGGATTTACGAAATCCATTCAACAGAGTTATGAATACTATCTGTAAGAACTTATTAAGCTTATCTATAATAGAAACAAGTTAATATGACTTATGAGAAATGAAAATGATAATGTTATCACATTAATATTATACTTGTATAATATATTACAGCTTTTTTTTTTTCTTTCATGTTAATTTTGTACAGTTTATTAATATCATATTACAGGTATTCTTATTATCATAATTAATGTTGGTTCATTAATTGTTCGACTATTGTTTAGAAATTTCATTCTCTTTTTTTATTACTTGTGCTTTAGTATGCATTTGAAGATTTTTTTTTATTAAAAAATGCACTATTTTAAATAATTGACTGATTACAACTACATTCATTCTTAGTTTTGTATTCTGGCTAAAAAATAACGAAGCTGCGGGAAACAATATGATTAAACAGTTTCATTCTGAGCATATGGATAGCATAAAGAACATTCTTTCCCTGGATAATTTGTTTTAAAAAGTGGTACTGCTTGCACCAATCTTTTTTCTACAAAGTTTACCTCCTAAACCCCTATTCCATCCAAACTAAAAGGACCAATTTGAATTTAACTGAGTTAAAATACAAATTTAAATATATAAAAAACAAAAACGTTTTATTTGAAACAAATTAATCATTGTTCATGTTGTCAATTCAATCAGCAGATGTATATTTTTACAATATAAAAAAAATAACTGATTTGAAACATATACTGAAAATACATATATTACAAAAGTTTTGAACATGTAAAATACCATTCTGAAATATTTGAAAAAGTCTGAAAATTACAATGCATTGTATAATCAAAAAATAACCCAAGGAACGAGGTGCTTTTCTTACTTCGTGTTTGTGTCACTTTCTTGTTTAAAAATGCAAATGCAAGATATGAACGAACCCAACAAGTATGTTAAAGCTTTAATTCCATTTAAAGTTTTTAAACAATAAAAATCGCGAGAGAAGGAAACAGGTACCTCAAAAGCGTCAGAGGTGAGATTAGGTGCCAGGGGGGAATTAAAATCCCAATCTGGCCGGTCACAGTTAATTGTCTAAAACTCTTGGCAGCTCCTTGTCATGATAGGGTAAATCTTAAATTAAGTCTCTCCATCTGAATTAGGATACAACCTCTTTCATAATTATAAGTAAATCGTGTTACTTTTTTTTATGTGTAATTTTCATGTCAAATCAAACACACTCTATTTTTATCGAAAAAAATTCTCCTTCGGCATAAATGAATTCTGCTAATTTTGTTTGAAATCAGTTCTGTGCCTTATACTATCAAAGAAGGAGGAAAAAAAACTGTTTATAATTTACCTAGACATGAATCACATACTGGGACACATTCAGAAAAGATCATAGTAAAAGACTGTATAACTAAGAGGCTTTATTTTCATAAATTAAAACCGGGAGAAATAGTTTTGCCTTCTTCAAATCATAAATCCACTGAAGGTGGTTACTGGGACAGAATCAGAGTAATATCCGCCACCAGAAGCAAACTGTACCCACACTTTGTCTCCACGCTTCAAGGTTAGAACCGCCATATTGGTTCCCGTCTGATGGGAGGTCGAACCATACGCATGCGCTCTGACCTTGGAGATCCTGTCGTGGACGATATCCACATTGATTGTGTTTGAGCTGTAAGCTGTGATTGTGACGTAGAAGACGTAGGTTCCGTCTGAAGGGGCTGTAAAAATTCCGGAAGATGCGTCATAACCCTGTCCCTGGTTGAAGAGCACGCTAGAGAAGACAAGTTTTCCAGATCCCCAGTATCTATTGTCTGATGTTGTGCCAACGGTAAAGCCGATTCTCTCACTAACATCTAAAAACGTTATATTTCTTACAGTGAAATGTAGTTCTTAAGTATTCGGAACGTAAATCTAAAAGATAATAATCTTCTGAAAAGACTATCGAGGAAAAATACACTTATACCCATGGCAATTCTGTAGATAGGAAAAAATTGACCTTGAAAAATTATAATTTCAAGGTCTTAACACCGCTTCTAAAAGACTTACTCAGCATGAACTTACACAATTAACCAATGCTAGAAATCATCGTTGATAGCTCATATAATGACATGGTCTTGTCTAACCTTTACTCATAAACTTCCATATCAATTCGTAAAGAGTTTAAAAGATGTTTTATTGAAATTTAAGGGCAAGACAGTCTATACAATGTTTCATAAGCATTCTTAAACATAATTTCCTCATAATGAGGAATTTTATCTTTTAATTTAGGTGGTGTCAAATTTTGAACTATGCATGAAGATAACGATCGTAGCAATATGTTTTTAAGGTGGCAAGGCCTAATCTCACAAAGGACATCGATTTTTAAGGTCTCATCAGAAAGACATAGCTTTCCCTTCTATAGCAGGGAGTTTGGAGAGGGAACATCCTATATCCTAATAGACAATAACGTCTTAATGGTTTGACGTGGTGCATGGAACAAGAAGTGAACAAGGGACATCTCAGCCACTTTTAGCAAGCGTTCTAAGGTAAAGTTATATAAGATTTTATTGATTTACCAACAATCGATATTTATAAAGAATAAAGGAGAAAATGAAAGTGATTTTTTTTTTTACATGAAAACATATTTACCAAACCCTCCACTTGAGATGTTGTTCCGGAACCATTCGAGAGACAAGACAGCGGCAGACAACTTCAACTGGTCGAGCTGTGTCTCCGACAAGTCTGTTTTTATATTGCTCAGGCTTCTGTTTGTTTCCTCTACAAGAAAGTGTTTCAAATTATACTCTTTTTTTCCAATAAACCCTTTTCTGCAAAGAAAAGAAATTAAACCCTGCTCAATTTGCTTTGTTGATTATCATACTTTTCAAAAACACCACAGTTAATTACTGCCATATATCGATGCAGAATAATATTTGTGTTAAAAAGAGTGATCAAGGTATTTATGGATAAAAAAAAATACCTATATCTAAGAAAATATAAAAAATAAGACCAACTGTTAGGGATTCCTACCTAACAGAGAAGTTGAAACATTGGCAATCATTTCAGAGAGAACGTGGTACTTGTTTTCTATTAGTTCTGGAACCGTCTTGTCAATTTCCTGCGCATGCTTATTCAGCTCCATTAAACTCATTGATAATACTCGTATTTGTATCTTTAAATCTGACAGTATTTCGCTTGCATTCCGTTCAAACTTTTCTTGACCAGTCCACAAATCTTTTTCAAGTCTTTTTCTATCTTCCGAGCTCTTTTCAAGTTCTGCAAGTATCCTGAAGTCTGTAGCGTTTTGCGCTGAAAGTCTCTTTTCGAGAACTTCATTTCTTTCTTTCAATTTCTGGATTTCATCCTTGAGAGTCTCGGTTTCTTTTTCCATTTTGACCCTTTCATCTCTAGCAGTTTGTTTAGCTGTGGACATGTCGCTTTGTAAAGACAACACAGTCTCCTTCAAGGAAACCATATCTTTCATCATGGCGTGGACATTTTTCGTCATAGACATGCGAATTAAGGTTTCTTGATTTAAGAGCTGTCTTAAAACAACAGAGTCTGTTCCCAATTGCGGAAGCTTTGGTTCCTCTATACCCGTGTTTTCTGTTGTGTTCGATATCCCTGACTCTGCAATAGTCAGATTTATCAAACATATCGAAATACAAAACGCTGTTACCAGTGGAAACATCTTGGTCGAACTACACTATTTATCAGTACTGGCTTTATATAGGTACAGCGAATTAAAAAAACACTTGAACTTTGGGCTGAGAATGAAAGAGGGTGGTCTTTGAAATGAAGCAAAGTTCATCTAAAATGTAATACTGATGCACTCCCATCCTGTATCACTGTATGGAAGATCTTACCATACTGGCCAAAAATACATCGAGTGATATCCTGTGACAGAGGTCTAGTAATTAAAAACAAGTAACTTAAAACGGACGGAAGGAAATCATTTAGAGTCTATACTTCACAGACTTAATCAAGATATACATTTAAATCAATACAGCTCCAATTAGTTTAATTGCTAGTAAACTATTACTTCATGAAATGAAAATTGAAGTCCATTGTTTTTACCAAATCTAATATAAATTGTATTAAACCTTTTGTGAAAAAAAACCTGAACAATCTATAAAAAAAACCTCTTTTGCCTTCTCTCGACCCACTAACTAACACGGCGTGACTCAAAACTATTAAAATCTCCAATAAACCATTATAACATTTTTATTCAGTTGAAAGTTTTCTCTCTCATTCATTTCTTAAATCTCCATTAACCCATTTTTTTTTTAAATTCAGTCCAAAGTATTCTCTCTCATATACAGAGTACTATAATTGGGTAAATTTCTCTATAACGCAGATGAAACTGAATTAAGTTTTTATAAACAAATTTTAAAGTTCGAATTCGTTTTCTGATAAAAAGAATATAAAATCAAGAAGTGACGTCTACAGCCCCAAAATTCTTTTGTCTTTCAACAACTATAACTAACAACACTAATAATACATATTGTGCATGAAATAAACTTTTTGCTCTTAATACAAGTTAGAAAAAAGAAACATTTCAAAAGATGCGATGAACATATGTAGGTTATCATCAGATTTGAACGTTAACATTCATCATCCGTTCATTTTACAAGAAAGTAGAGGAAGGGGTCTACATGAAGATATTAAATTCGTCTGTTTTGTTCCCTTATGGATTTTTACAAGAAGCAACAGTATCAAAACGTATGAACATTTTATCAGTTTGTACCAGTCTTTCTAGAGACAAATTAAGGAAGAGACTTTCTGACACCATATATAGCTGATTCAATAGGATGGAACTCAGGAATTTTCACGTCTTCGTATTGTTTTTATACTGTAAATTCACAATGTTAGAGACCATTTATATGCGACAAACAGGTAATCTGAAATTGTAATTCAAAAGATCCAATGAAAATATTTTTGTAGTCTTAAAGGCGAGTTTTCCAAGACATTGTTGGAATAATGGTGATTTATGTGCTATGATTACATGACCAAACCTTATTTATATCCAAATAAAAGTTCCTTATTTCTTCTGAAATAACATGTCACACATCTCTTAAAAACAAAGAAGACCAACAACTAATAAAACTTTATGTTTAATTCTAGCTCATAAAATGAGATCCGCTTCAATGACTTCAATTATATAATATCACAAAATAAACATTAAATAAATTTTTGTATTGCTTTTAACAAAATATACAAATAATTAAATATAAAACTATTCTCAAAATATAAAAAAAAATATTGCAGAAAAATTAAATCAGGCGCTTTCTTGACACCACTTTATTTTGAATGAAAAATAAATTATAGAAATTTTTATTTAATTGATAAAAAAATATATCAATATTCAAAAACGATATTGACAAGTTACTGTAATTGTACAACGTGGTCTAGAATTTTGAAGTCCATTTTTTATATTTTAGTCTTTACTCACAGACAGGCATATACACAAACAAGACATATAAACAGAGAGATTTCTTTACAGCAAAAGCTTGCGGAAACTATGTCTTCTTCTCTTCCATTCTGTGCTGTTTCAAACATTTGGGTGAACAGAACTTGAAATCGAAATATTCAAATGGAACTTTTCCCGTCATATCCCCACCACACTGGAAACAGCGACTGGAATAAAGATAAAAAATAAATTCAAAAAAGTGTTTTATTGTATTTGAAACATTTTTAAACAACGTAACGTTAAAAAGACATGCCTACTATGTTATGTAAAAAATGTGCTCCTTTCACGATTGTTCCACGAGTGATTATATCAAAACTTTCTCTGAAGCCAACTTTTGTTAGTTAACTCCTTTCGCCTTTGTATTTGAAATATATCATTATCAAAATGCCATTACGTCACTTAGGTTTACATATCATTTTGTGTTTTATTGTAAATAATTATTATTTCTAAAGAATTATCAATACAAGTGTTCTTCCATATTTAACCGGTGTTCCTAGTTTGATCATATATACTGAAAGGAAAAAGAAACGCAGGGTAGCATAAAATTCGAAAACTTTTTGACCGCAAAACCGAAAATTACGAAAATTGGTCAGATGAGAAATTTAGTTACTCTGCACCAAAATCAATGTTCACAATTACTCAACCGTAAATTGTATGACGTCATGTAGGGAAAACGGTAAAAAGCCCAAAACACGTGCAATTTGATAACGACGAGTTTGTCAAAAATCTTGTTGCACCATTTGATGCACCTGAGGTATACACATTGTTTTTCAATATTTAGAGACGATATGAATTTCTTGCAATCTTAGTATAGTTTACGGAACTTCAGTGGGGTCAAATTTTCGAATTGCCTAATTAATGAAAAAGGTAACAACGGGTAACTAAGCAGTTTCTTGTAAATTTTCCCCCATAAAACTTGTAATCCGTTGTCAGATAGGGCCTGGAATGGCTTTCAATCAACCGTGACAATGACGTTAACGCGAAACAGAGCCATGTTACGAGCGGGTTATTCGTGCTGCCACCTCTTAAATCGCAACCCTACTACCAAAAAGACCGCCTTTTATACAGTAGACTATTCCAGTCATTACATTCACACAAAAAATTAAATGAAAACAATTCTGCAATTTGGGTTTTTGAGCATGTCAACTTACTGTTGTGTTCCTCTCCCTCGCGCATGCGCGCGTTGCATGACTAATTTTTTGGCGTGGCTACCGATGCCCAATATAGCCAAGGTTTAAAAGATAATCAATCGGATGAATTCCATGCAAAGGAGAAATAACGCTCATGACAGATGTGCAGGAGAGACATTGAAGATAATGAGTGTTTTCGATTTTCACTTTTGGGGGGTATCGTCATATGCGCTTCAATAACTCAAGAATTATTAGACAAAATCAAATGAAATTTTTGTTATATCTTTTTGAAAATTAATGTTAAAAGTTGGACAGGAATACTGAAAAAAATTGAAAGAAAAATAAATGTAATTCCCCTCAAAAGTTTACCCTGCGTTTCTTTTTCCTTTCAGTATATATGTTAAAAAAAAACTCAGATCGACTGAGGAAAACATCATACTAAATACTGTACGTATAATGTAGTTTCTACCGTCTTTTTTGAACGACCAACGAATACTTGTATCAACCGAAAGTTCATTTTCATTTTTCTATTTTCTGACTACAAATGACATGTGAATACTCCAGGTCTTTCAAAAATTGAGGAATTTTAAGTGTGATCAACATGATTTACAAACAAAACAAATCTATAAACAGGGCACAAAACATGGACCCCTGGAAATTTCTGATGTGATTAGATGCCTAGGGAAGATATTATTCCCTGTAGACCGGTAACATCCGCCTGGAACCATGGGTATATTGATCAGATGGACAGAATATTCCGTTGTCAAATTAAGTACATAAAATTAATAAGAAGCATGTTCGCCAAAATACGGAACAATGTTGGGTAGATTTTGTTAGTGTCATTATAACAACCAATAAAATAAATGTTGACATTAAATTCCTGTAATATTAATTTGTCTGTCAAGAGCCTGCCTCGCATCGTCAGATACCCACAGGTGATCTCGTCTTTTACTTACCACGTGCACCTGTAGCAAACTAGCCGAAATGTCATTGTATGTAATAATTACGCACAGGTCATTTGATTGGCTGCTGCACAGAATCTCTAGGGCAAATTAATGAATCACAGTTTACATTACGTAAGTTACTTATAATATGTGTGTTTGGCAATGACATACGTTTTTTACGTAGTTAACACACAAATTGCAAACAAATCCAAACACCAGTGCACTTGTCAGTTTAAGAAAGGTACATCCATATTTATCTTGACTGATTTTTGATGCCAGTGACTTCTACTTGTCTAAAATCGTCAAAAACTAAATTCGCACGTTTTAAAAAGCGTAGTGAACATTATTCAAGTTCAAAAGTCCATAAAACAATACAATATAGAAGCAGAGCAAACAAGAACCTCCAAAACATCAAAGGTGGGATAGGGTGCCATTGAGGAGTGAGCAACCACTATCGACCGCCGTGTGCTCCTTGTCATGATCAGGAAATAACGGAAAAATCCGTCGTCATTTCAATGAGTAAATAATAAACTAACAATAAGTATGAAAAACGTCATTCAGTATTTGACTCAGACTCAGAGATAACAAGGCATTGTATCAACCATAGAACTTATGAAATGATGATTGTAAACGAGACTTTTGTCAACAATTTACTTCGTTTTAGAAATGTACCTACATAGAGCATGCTCTTGCGTATCGAATCAACTGAGATATATACACTCCGTATGCAGGTGATGAAGGTATATTGCTGCATAAGTAAGGGATGTTGACGATTGAAAAGTTAAAGTCACCACGTTTATCATAGAGCTTGGTTGTTAGATTACCATTAAAGTCTTTTTCAAGTAAAATATCCAAATATGAAACAGATGATCATGTGTCAGAATCCGTTGTATATTTTATCTCAAGCTCAATGGGATATCTCGTATCGACATAAGAATGGAAATTACCATTGCCAATTGACAACACGTCGTCGATACCAGGGTATATCTAAATGTCTAGCTGAAGGCCACAGTAAGTGATTTCTTCTTTTCACGCATAAGATTTTTGGATAAATTCTGCTTCAAATCAATACAAAAATATGTCTGCTAATAACGGGGCGCAACTGGTACCATTGGGCTTTCAAATAAATTCAAATAATAAAGTGCCACGCCACAGCATGATACGCCCGTCAAAAAATTACAATTTTCTTGAACAGTTTAGCGTGCAAGAAAATCAGGTCAACCTTGATTCTAAGATTTCCATGATTTTTCCATTCCTGAAAATATTTATCCATCCCCTGTGATGCAGGCATTAATTATAATAAATATTACATCATTGATAGATTTCTATGCTGGTTGTGTTAAACCTTGTCAAATGCCCATCATATTAAACAATATCAAATTAGTCTTAACACCTTAATCTATACTAAATTAATTTTGAAAAGAAAAGGCTGGCCATCAAATGACATATGCTATAAACTGACCAGCAGTTCTTCTGTCTAATCCCCAAAGGATACAGATAAGACTGCTTGATCAGATAGCCTTCCTAAACTGAACTCATTAATCTTGTCTACTCATTACTACCAAGAGATGAATGGGTCTAAACTATCTACCATAAATTTTTTTTTTAAACACATAAAATACTCAAAGATTTTTTTTTGGTTGAGATTTAATGTCTGACAGGTTTTTTTATGTAATTCATATGGACATACTGATTCCATCCCACCCAATAAAATTAGTTTTTTAATTAATGATATTATATAATATCAGATTAGTCTATTATGCAATATCAAATTAGTTTTAATTACTTTTCATCAAATTCATTTTAAAACTTAGGTTAGCCAACAAGAGCTTTTTAATCCAACAGGCTTAAACATTTGCCCAATACTCAAGGGACATAGATAGCACCAATGCTCTAGCTGCCAGTTAGCTCCTCACACTAAACTCATTAATCTCTCTCTAATTTGACAAGCAATTTTCTTTTATCAAAATTCTTCTTGACCAGTGCTTGATAATTACACTCATGGGAGAGGTAGGATTTCTCTAACATACATTATATTTGTTATAGATTGCTGTCAAGTATATGCTTAAAAAAATAAGTATTTTCTTGATTTAACACTTTTTTAATAAGGACAGTGCAATACTCTTACATTATTTGGGATGTGAAAATGAAAAGTAATAAGACACATTTTTAAAAAAAATTTCACTTAAATTAAAGGTCACAGTGACCTTGAAATAGGTCGCGACACACCTTCTACCTAAGATGCATAAACTAGCCAAGTTTGATGATTGATAGTCTTATAGTTTTCTAGTTATGGGCCGGAAAGGATTTTTCCATATTTGGCTATATCTTCTTAATTAAAGGTCAGAGCGACCTACTTTTTGTGCGCGACACACCTTCTACCCAAGATGCATCAGATGACAAAGTTTGATAATCCTAGACCTAATAGTATTAAAGTTATGAGCCGGAAACGAAAAAGCTAACAGACAGACGGACGGACACGAAGCCTATAACATAATACGTCCCGTCTTAAGACGGGCGTATAAAAACCACTTAGATACTGTCAATCAGAAACTCAAGAATCTTTTTGATGTCAAATTCAGAGTACTTGTGTGTACAATCAGAATGCTATTTAACAAAACAATTTTGCAAATGACCAATGACAAGATAAGTAAAATTACGAATTCCATTTTTATTGAAAACGGTACTGTCAATGATATCAAAAAGCCTGGACTTCAATTTATCATGGGGAATGGTTGTGTATAATGTAAAAAATCGTTTTAAAGCTGTTGATTTTGGTAAGATTTTGTGATTTCAATTTGCCCAACAGTTCCTTGGAATTTTTAAGTGTCCACATCTGATTTACTCCACCTCTTGAATATATTGTTGCACAGTACTCTTGAAGTTTCTTCTTCACTAATGTTAATATCTTAGGAGTAAAGAAAGAGGCTTGGTTGAACATTTACTGGAACCCGATATGTATCTTTGTTTGCATGGATTTTTATGAATTTTCAGAATCCAATATACATATGGTACTTCAAATTCATTTTGTTTGTTTGTGATATTAAAAATACATGTATTCAAAATAACACGATTCTTCCATGGAAAGGGAACTATGATTATAACTTTGATAACCACTTGTAGAATTAAATCTAAATTCTTCTAAAATACAATTTATATAATGAGCCTTACAAACGAATACAATGTTCAATGTTTCCTGCTATGTCAGCAGGGACAAGTATGTACCGATCATTTAATCTAATTCTTTTTTCACTTCTGGATTATTGAATGCAGAAGGATAGACGGTTTTTACATTGCCTTTCAATCTTTTTTTACGCGATTATAACATAAATCTTATACATTTAAATCCATTCTGGCAGAGTGTCAACGTCTTCTTTTTCATATCTGGCCCATAGTCTGGCATAATTTTCTACAGAATCCATAAAATTTATGAAATTGCGACGCCAGTTGAAGGACCAGGGTTCCCTATACTAGTATTTAGGACCTTTTTAAATAAGTGATCTAAGGTCCTCAATAATAAATAGAAAAACAATAAATGTATTTTCAAAACTGAAGTGTTCCAACTTTCAGGTTGGTTGCATAAAATCGACGAATTTGCATATTATACGACATTTTAGCAAGTTTGCCCATGGCTAACACTAGTAAGTAAAAATAAAAACCAAAATCACTTGTGGGTATCGAACGATAGTCTAATAAACTTAGCAATTAATTGACTGTACCCTGAACCCTGAACACGCTCTCGAGTATCGAGTACGTTGTTAATTGGCCCAACTAAAATACATCTAAATATGAAACGTGTGTGGAGGAGTCAGTTGTTTCTCTTATATCTAGAATATATATATCGAGTTGGCATATGAATAGAATATAAGTAACTATTGTTTTTTGATTTGAACATATTTTATTATGTAATAAATACATAAATGCATTGGGCAGCAGACACAGTCTATATAAGCCCTCTCCGCAGGTACAAGGTTAATTAATACACATTATTCTATATAATTACAGGTTCAAACTATTGTTAATTGATAAAACGTCGTTGAAGTGGATGGCCACGGCAAATTTGTTTTTTCTTCCTCTCATCTAGAAATTTTTGAATAACTTCTGTGTCATAGATAAGGTTTACGATACTTTGAAGATATTTTGGTGTTGAAACTATGAATCTAATTTCCTTTTAAACTGTAGTTTTTTTTTTACATACATATATGTATCTAGGGTTTGATCTGAAATTTAAAACTGTGTACCTTAGATACCCATCCCGGGTAAATATTCCAAAGCTTTTATCTTTGAAAATTTAAAAACGTTGAACTAAGAAATTACATGTACCTTTTCGTTGATTGGCTAGTAAAATAAGATTTTCCAGTTTCGGGGGTATTTCGTCAGTATCAAAATTATCGTTTACTTCAAGGCCTAGATGTGTAGATAGAGGGAATTTCAGTACATATACGTGTCATAAGAAACACTCCAATAGTTTAAAATCAAACCGGGTTTTCATTCAGATCCTTTATACCTGGATGAGTTAACCCGGAACTTTCGTGTATAAATATTTTATTACTTTAGAAATAAGACAATTAAGGCACGACTCTGTTGGATTGAATTAAATACAAATATTTTTGTTCCATGAACTTTTTGTGACTTTCCTTGCGCCACACCGGAACATTTGAGGGCGTTTCTATATAAATATACCCAAACAAAAAAAAAACCCACATTGGTATCATCAAGAGCTGCGTTACGTACAGCAAAGAAAACACATATTGGATTATACAGGACCCCTAGTAACTAAAAATTATTCAGGAGAAAAAAATCAACAGCCGTTAAAAATGAAAACTATCTCTTGTGTACTCTTTTTGTGTGTGATCAAGGCAGTCTGTTCTCAAAAACCTGTACTACAAGCAAATGAGACACTGGCATTACCATCCCTACACAAGAATCCCGCCAGAATGCCCCGGGTGTGCAGACAGTATGTTATTCGAGGGATCCAACAGCTGACCAGAGGTCTGTACATCATATATAGTTGATTAAAATAATTTTTTTACTCGAAATTCCTATTTGAATAAGTGCATATGGTTCTATAAACATGAATAAAATCCCATTATTTCATTGAAGCATGAAAACCAATGCTTATTGAAAAAATAAATTATCTTCATGTACGTACGTGTTATTTTCAAATTGATAGCAAGACTTTTCTTTGTACCCATTTCTTTTTTACTTTTTATGCAGGGCTACTCTTCACAAAAAAGGAATTAAAGAAGAAACTTAAGAAATTCAAGGAAAAAGAATGCAATGGTCTGAAGAATCAGGAAAAAATTCAAAAACGATCTTCTTGTTCTATTAATGATGGAGACACGTGCTGCCCTTCGTAAGTGAAAGTACAAACCCGTTTCATTTTGGACGTTTATCATTTTGCTTTTTTTGTCTACAAATGTGTAATGGTAACATGTTCAGAATTTTTTTTTTTTATTTTGTTGAAAAATGTTGAGGTCGTATGCATCCCTTAATTCACAAAAAAGACATTTAATATGTATTGTGTATATTTATTTGCTAATATCCTTTTGAGATTTAAGGATGAAATTTCTAAGGCACAGGTTTGGTTTGAAGATATCTTGTTGTCTTTAAACTTTACAACTGGGATCGGGAACATGTTTTAAAAACTTTTAAACGCACTTAAGACACAAATAAAGTTTAGGAAAGATATTCATTTAGAAAAAAAGTATTTTTTTTTCGAAAGAAAAATTCAACAAAATTAAATGAAAATTCCAAAATGCCTATTCGATATATTTGCAAATGAAAGATCCAAATGAATTGCTCGACAATTTCAAATATTCTGTCAAAATAGCGGGTTCTTTTAAATGCTCTTCGCAGCCTCTTTATAAACACTTCAACAAAAGTATTCATATGAAATAGTAGTGAAGGAAAGTGAAATAAAACAAAATGTCAAATTTAATATCTAAGACATACTAGTATGACAGTACCCAGAGACTATTTATAAAAATAAAGTCTGAATTTTGTCACTTACAATATCTGTACATTTATTATCTTGGAAAACAGGAAAAATCTTTAATATTTTCTCAAGAACCACTGGGCCAGGAAAGCTGAAACTTGTGTGGAGGCTCTTGGTGGTAGTGTTATCTCAGCGAGATGTCTTAGGGACTAACAATTTTGTTCCGACATCCACTACGACGTCAGACCAAAATTTTTAGTCCTACGACATCTCGCTGAGATTAGGTAGTAGTGTAGACTCTAAATCATTTAAATATTATGACATTTACATTTTCATTACAACCATAATTCAGAGATCATATTTTTGACAGATACTTGACCTTAGCTTATCCAACTCATCTAAACAACACCGATGGAAAACTACGGCAGCTTGTCTCCATCTACAGAAAAAGCCAGTCACTGTATCAGTTCATTCCGCTAGGGATGTGTGTGTAAGTGTTAATCTCCTATCAAGTTCATCATGATCGAAATTAGAATGCAAGAGTTCTGTTGAAATTTTTTGAGTGCATTTTCTTGCACTACATTAACATTATCAATTATCACAAATTATAACAAAACAGACTTTTTGGGATTTGAGAAAATTTAATATTTTTGGTAAGATTTTTATTTGAATACATTGTCAATAACATTTATAATTTTGCCAAGTCTGGGAAAAGCTGGTGTTTTAAATAATGGAAATTTAATGAAATATATCATAATTTTATTTCAATATACTTTTTCCCATCATTTCTCTAGTCGTGGGAACTGCTTTGATTCATGTATACATTTTTACCCTTATAGAATTTTTCCAACAAAGACCGTTTATTCTGTTCTAAATATGCATGGATAGACAGTGTTATGTTTTCATTTTCTTAATGTCGATCTTTACACTGTATCTTTTTTCTTTAACTGTAGGTCTGGGGGAGGCTGTAACATGTGCAAGCAGGAGTTTACATTCCGGTCCCTCCTTGTTTACGACATGAACTACCCTTACTACACATTTGACGAGTTTTACTTACAGACTTACTGTTCTTGTAAAGGAGGCATGTGATGAATAGAGTTACTTTTTTTCACCAAAACGTAGTTTCAGCAACAAAGAATGTTTAGAAAGAAAATGGTGTCTGCATAAAAAAAGGATTGCTTATATCAGTTAAAAAGTGTTCAGCAGAAGATTTAAATCGTTGTGGTCAATCCAAGTGTTGTCATTGGTGAATTACTTAAACAGACAGGGCACTGCCATGTGAATTCTACAGAATTTAAACAATTGAGTGAAAATATTTGGTCTTTTGAACTGGTTAGTAAAAGGTGTAAAAAAAAAAATTAATTCATTTCCTTAAAATAAAGTACAACTAGCATCAAACTGAGAACTTGAAGTCGTGTTCTCTCCATCAGCATATTACTTGTTAAAGTTGAATTTTAAGATCACAATCAGGGACATATCCTTAGTTACTGGGACAAAAAAAATGACATAGATTTTATATTTTAAATCGATGTGTGTGTAATACATTTTCTTTGACAAGATCTTAAAAGTTCTTGAGATTTTGAAAGATATACATTTCAAACAAAATTGTCCCCTGGAAAAAAGTCCTGCTCTGGGAGAAAACCTTGGAAAAACTTCCAGGATCAAAATAAAAACCAATAAATGATATCTATTTTACAGTTCATACTTTTATGTCCACAAGTGTAGCTGTAAGACAAAAACAGTATAAATACCAGACTTGTCTGTAGTTCTCCATTCAATATTTATTTTAGAAAATGATAAAAGTAAATAAAAGTCCATAGAAAACTACTTTATCAGGTAAATGATCATTTTACTGAAATGTTAAACTAAAAGGTCTCAAAAATTTACAATACATGTATCAAATATTTAAGACACCATTTGTATGAAACTTGCAAGAAAACCTCAAATATGAAGAAGAATACCTTAATTGACACCTCGCGAATGAATGGACATTGAAATCTTGATTCAAATGACCAAGGAGCAATATGAAAACCAACTTTCCTTCTGTCTTTCACAATACAGAAGTGAAACAAGTATTAGATAGATTACAAGATCAGTATGCACTGGTCGTGGCTAACAAATTTAAAACAGGTAACAACAGTGTCTTTGTTTGTATTGTATTAAAGTGGAACTAGGATTCAGTTCTTCGAGAGGTAATCCATTTTATACATGTACCCATAGTTCCCTTTTGAAGGAGGAAAATTTTCAAAACCATACATCAGTTTTCAAAATTTCTAATATTCCCGACAATCAAAATTAATTTGAGTTAATTACTGTACCTAGTATACTGAATTTCAAAACTCAATAACAATCTTTACAAAAAAACAAAAAATAGTGGGTTCCAGTAATTGTTCTACCAAACCTCTTCATTCACTCCTCACTGAAATATGTCAGTTGTGAAGAAAAAACTTTAGGAATACTGTGCAACAGTATATTCCAGGGGTGGTATAATTCAGATGTGGATGTTTATTCCTTTATGGCTAGGTACCTAATACTGCCTTTGATGTTTTCGGGGGGGTACCTGTTTGTTCTGCTCCCAATATGTATCATTTAAATGGACTTCTGCCCTTAATACTGTTCTTCATTTCCATGTTTCTTTCACATCTGAACGAATTTTTATGATCTGTTTTGACTCATATGCTAATGGTTTTGTTTATTGTTAAATCTTACCGTTTTTTTTATTTTAGTTTAAATAGATCTGAGGGTTGAAAATGAATTTTCAAAATCACCCCAACATTGCCCAAGCAAGAAAAAGGCACATATTTCTGTCAATCATGATATTGTTGACCAATCACAACTGACTCTAATGTTTTACCTCAAAACTGGAGATTTTTGCCCTGTCCCCTCAATGTTTTTCAGTAGCCTCTTCTCTGCTGCAAGGGCACGCTAAAACAAAGTTTGAGTATTACCAAACAATTACCTAAGTACTAAACATTTTAGTATATGCACATATATCTGACCAACAAAATGTGGCATGTACCTGAAGTTTGCTACTACATATAGTACACATGTGTCAAATATTAATTTTTTGAATTAGCAAATTTTCTGTGTTTACATGGTCTAACTTTAGTTTACAGTATCTAAGTAAACATGTAATATAAAACAACTTTTAGTCTAAAATAATTTAAAATATATTTGCAAAAGATTTTTCCCAGATAGTCATTTATACAAAACTACACAGAAATAGTTATCATACAAAAAGTGATTTACAGTAAAGCAGTATGACTTTTTTGTTTTTTTTACCTTCTCAAAGGTGTAAGAAAGTTAAAGAAATCTTTCATTCTCTCTCTCCCACAAAAGTGATTTTCATTTTTACCTTCTCTCTATCCGACAGAGCCAGGAATCTTTTCTTCTCTCTTTCCTCTGCTTCTTTTACAGCTTCTTCCTCCCTTTTTTCCTTCATGAAGGAAAAAATCATTAATATGATGCAGCACATGGTAAAAATAGTACTCTCAAAATTATAAAAACAATTTTAAAAATCCAACTGTAGATTAATTTTAGCATACTAAAATGATCATGTATGTACAAAAATCTTTTATCGAAATCTTTTTATGAATAAAAATATACATCTTCTGCTAGGTGAATCAAATTCTGAACATTAAAGCTGAATGCATATTCGAAATATGCATGTACCAGAATCAAATTTTAACGGATTTTAGGTGGTTGAATATTTTTGTATTTGTGTACAGTCATGTTACTCTGCCATTTTTGGGGGATTTCTATCTTTCTCTCTATCTTACTTTCATTCTCTCTTGTTTGGCTTTTTTCTGTAATTTTTTCCTCTCTGCTGCTTTCTGTTTTCTTTCTTGCTCCATATCATCTGTTAATGCACTTGGAATCTACCAAAAATCAAAATATTATTAATATAGATCTAAATGCATAGTCAAAATATTAGATACGGAGGTTTATGGTTTCTTCAAAGATTTCTAAATACATTTAAAACAGATACTAAATGTCATCCACAAAAATAAGATAAAAGGGGGTTGATTCAATATCTTTTAATTATATTCATGTTCAAAAGAAAAATAAGATTAGATTTCAAGATACGTCCAAATATTGCTTTTAGAACTAAAACTTTTTCTTGACATCCTTTCTCTATTGTAGTCAAATGCAGGAAGCCCTTTAAAAATGATGTTATAAAATCTTAACATTGTTACTTTTTATTTATTTTAAAACCAAGAACATTAAAAAGGTTTAATGAAAATAAGTGAAAGAAAGGTTTAAATAATAATATGAAAATGTTACAGATCAAAGAAAGACCTAAATCAACTATTTACTACTTTTTCCTTACTTCCAATAAAAAAAAAATTAAAAGCATTTTCTTTCAAATAATAAAAGGAACCTCTTGACAAAAATTAACATGATCAAAGCAATGAAAAATTCAACTACATTGGAACTTTAAAATACAAAATTGAAAATAATAAACAAACAAAAGGCTATGGTATATACATGTATACACACGTATTTCATGCCCTGCTCTACCTTGCGACATACCTGTGCTGTTTTATAATCATAACGATCAGGATAACGGCCCATAAACTTCCTGAATTCATTCCTTGTCTCCTTATCTTTTCCATGGTTGTATGGAGTCTGGCCAAATTTATCTCTAAAAGAAAATGATGCATGTAGGTTGTTGTGATATTGTGAATTTTGTATTAGTGAAATGAATATTCATGTACATGTAGTAGAATTGAAAGAATAATTAAGGATCAAAGAATTAGAAATATGTACAGCTGTATATATGGTAGCATTTTCTTATTCATATTCTCTAAGAGAATTTGATTTAAAAATAAATTTTTGAAAAATTATAGCCAAAAAAATTAATAAATAGAAATCTTGATTTCATAACAGTGTGTCTACTAATTAAATTATGCAGACTTTAACAACCACATTTAAATCACACAATATTTCATAGTTTGTTCTTTTATTTCAATGAAACAAATGTCAGAGTATAAATATTTCCAAAATTTGACCCTTTTTAAAACACATTTTAAATCCCAATTGAAAAGATAAGAGCTCTGGACCTGTACCAAAATGGGCAAACTTTATTTCCTGAAATTCCATCGTACCTTGCAGCTGGGTTAGCACCACTCTCCATTAGTATCTTGATGACTTTCCCATGCCCCTCCTTAGCAGCAATGTGTAACAAAGTCAATTTATTGTCTCCTATTGCTTCATTTAGCATGTCATTGGTATCTATTGGTGACAAGAGTTCCTCTGAAGTTGATGATCCTGGTCGACTGTCTGCTTTACCTGATGGTCTTTGCAAAAGCTCTTTTTGTATCAGATTTTCTGATGAATTTTCAGAAGGTGCTGATAAGTTCACAGAAGAAATAGACTCTTTTTCATTTAAATTCTCTAGTCTATTTATGTTTTGTACATCACAATTCGTTGAATCACTATATATCTTAGAGGTCAGTTCACTATTTTCACTATTATTTTGACAATGCTGTAAAGTGCTAGTATGAAAATTTTTTTCTGTCCCATGTGGAATTTTTTCTGGTGATTCTAATTTTGGAACACTCTTTGAGAAAACAGCCATTAAATTTCTAAGTGTTTCTATATCTCCTGTTTTACAAGCTGTAAACAGTGAATTTTTCAGGTGATATTTTTCCTCTTCTGAAAATATATACAAGTAAAAAGAATTAATTTCTTTTAATATAATTAAGCACCCTTCCTCTTGTTTCAGTAATTAATCCAATTTAGCATACATTTTCAAGTTGTCAACAAATTCTTATTTTTCCAGCATGTAAAAAAACTGTTATGAGTTCTCTTTTCACCCTCCCAAACATGCCTATAGGACAGCACTTTGTCTATATTCTACATATATCCAAGTCATGTAAACCAAATATTATTTGCAACATCTTTTATTCATGATTCTTCTTTTTTGAATCCATCAAAGACTACTGATTTTCAAAACCTGGGCAACAGTGCTATTAATAAATTGTTGACAAAAATCTTCATTATGAGAAACATTTGTATGTAAAAGAAGGTCATAAAACTAACAGATGTGTCTTGATCCTGAATAAAAGTTGATTTTAATACAGTAACTAGTGAAAGGATCTGAGTTACCTAACGGGTCTGTCTCTGGTTCCAGCTGATGTTTCGACAATCTCCTTCGTCTGTTTTTGTTTTTCTTTCTGTTTGGATTCTTCGTGGCTTCAAACTCCTGCAGCTCTAATGTGGACAGTGTCCCCATGGTTTCCACAAGATCAGCATCACTTGTGGTGGACCCTCCAGAGGAGGAGGGCTGATTTTCATTCTGCATCTCATCTTCTAAAATCAAATCAAATTTTAAGATTGTGCCAGCTGCCCAAATCTCATTCACTTTTATAGATAAAATATTGCTTTTATTAAATTAACAGTAAATGGATTGACTTTTACTCAAATACAAAGAAATCCTGAAAGAATCCTCTGTGTTCTGCAAATGAAATACAGTAAAAACTTCTGTAGTTTAGATACCACTGGTTCCAATGAAATTGAACTTATACATAACATCTGGATTAGACAAGTTTTTCACTATATACAGTAAAAACATTCTGGATATTAAGACAACATTTCATACAACTGAATTTACTAAAAGGAAAACAAAGTTATTGAAAGTTAGTATTTTATTGGGCAAAATTTTGGAATAAACAACCTCCGGATTTGAGACAATTTTTTCACTATACAGTAAAAGTTGTTTAGTTCAAACAGGGATTTTGCGAATTCACAGATATAGTTAAGTTATCTAGGATCCCAAGCTATATAAATTTAATGAATTCCTTATACAGATATAACGAATTACTGATATAGCTAAGTAATTTTATTGGTCCCAGTGACTTCGTTTTGACTAAGTTTTTCTGTAATGTTAATTTTAAAATCAAACTCCTTGATCATCAATTACCGAATCAAAACTAACCAAACTACCCACCTAAGACCTGTATTTGTTGTGCCCTCAATAGAACCTTCTCTTTTACATTATTTTTTAGAACTAGTGTCAGAGGTAAACTAAAAACAAAAAACAGTCTGTAAAATAAGTTACCATAACACTCAATGGAAGATAACATTTCAAACACTCTTCTGGTTTCTGACAATCTTCTCTGTCGTCCCTTCTGTGGGTCCTTATTGACGACCTCCAACTGACCCAGGGCTGCATTAAAGGTCACAGGTGGGGAAATGGGAACATAATTCTGGATATCTGCCTCTTCTCCTGCAGGTACAAAGAAAAAGGTACATTGTATCATATTAAAAAAAATTTGACTTGAGTTGTTAGTTTTGCTGGGTGTGCTTTAAGGATAAATCAGTAACTTTCTTTAAAAGTATATACATTTATATTAAAATACTTTTTTAAAAAATCTGAATGTCAGCTTATCATTCCTGTATGAGATGTCTTCAAATAGTCAATATCTTATTACATACAGGTAATAGTAATGTTTTATATATCCAATGTACATGTATACTATAGACATAACAGTGAGTTCTTCAGACTATAGGTAAAAGTAAAACTTTTATTCCCCATTGTGGCCCCGCCCTACCCTCGGGGGTCATGATTTGAACAATTTAGAATCTACAGTACCCCAGGGTGCTTCCACATGAGTTTCAGCTTTTCTGGCCCAGTTGTTCTTGAAAAGAAGATTTTCAAAGAATTTTTCATAACAAGAAAAAGAGAAAAAACACTCAAATTGAGTCAGCTATAAGGTAAACTAAAAACCTAAACAGTCTGTAAAACCAGTTACCATAACACTCAATGGAAGATAACATTTCAAACACTCTTCTGGTTTCATTAAGAGTGGGGCGTCGTGTGGGAAATGGAATCATTCGGACTCTCTGGTCGTCTTTGTTAAAGGGTGGGGACTTCCCGTGTAGAAATATTCTTTTGTTTTTGTCTTTTCTTGATTATCTCCCCTTGTAAGGGGACTTGTCCCTTCATTTTAACAATTTAAATTCCCCTTCAGCCCTAATGAATATTCTGTCACAGCTGTCTAACGCTCCTTTCCAAGATTCCAACAATGACTTGATTTCCTGTGTGAATTTTTTTTTTTGAATTATGAATTGAAAAAAAATTTCCGACAGAAAATGAACTGAAAGTAAAACTTTCAGAAGAAGCAACAAAAATTTCCAACAGAATACTGTAAACCAACAAAGCAACAAAAATTTCCAACAGAATACTGTAAATCAACAAAGCAATAAAAATTTCCAACAGAATACTGTAAACCAACTCCTATTTCTGTCATCTATTATTCACATTTCAATTTGCTGTGTCAGTTTGCAATCAGTCCGCAAAGTTTAACATTCTCTATCAATATAAAGCTAAATAAATGTTTCATGGCTATTAAAATTCATAAGTAATAGTTGGTCGCGAAACTCAATGACATTTCTCGCAAACGAATAATAGTTGGTTTACAGTACTCTATGAATACAAAAAAAGTCTACGTAAATAAATTTGACAAAACAATCAAGGAACACATCCTTTGGGGGCCTCACTAACCTCCTTTAATGCTGCCTCATTGTGTCTCCTTATGCTGGCCCCACCAGACTTAGGGGCATTTCCCTGACTGTCTCGTGTTCCCTGTGCCGTGCCCCTTTTAGCCCTCACTACATAGCGATGAAACGTCTTGTGGAGGATCAGTTTCTCCCTACAAATTTTTTCTTGATTTTAAATAAACTTCAATTATAAAAAGCTTAAAATTTCAATTTTAATCAAACAAAACATGATAAAACTCCAAACAGTTTATAAGAAATAATTTCATTATGTATAATTTTATTTTAAATTCTATATCATATGTAATCAAATCATATCAGAAAATAAAAATGCATATCATTTAAAAAATTTTTCTTAAATTAATTTTCCCAAATGAAAAGACAAATTAGGTGTATGTACATGTACTTGTAATTTATTTGCAATTGACTATGTTGTAATTTGTGGCCATACTTACTTATCAAAAACAGCTCCTGCAAAATGACCCCCTCCACACATTAAAACGGCCCACTTCATCTCCTGTGTAATGTTGTTTACCAGGGAAACCAGTTCTGAATGATTCTGAACTTTGACCTAAACGAAGAAATGATAGTTGATGAAGGGGTACACTTGTATTAGGTGAACTGCAGTTTTACAGCTACTATATATATCATCACTGCAAATCTTACTGATGAATACAAATGATGACTACCCCCCAACCCAACCACCCATACACACAAAACAATATTTCTGAATCAAATAAATTTGAAGATCAATCCATACATTGTCAATTAAAAAATATGGTTGAAAATACCTTCATACCTTTTTATGATGTACAACACATCTGTACACAGACACCAGTAGACCCTCCGAATTACGGAAGAATATTTTAGGATATTTCCTGGCGCTCTCATTGGATGCCCCACCCATTTCTCCCTCTGAGGCCCCGCCCACTTCACTCTCGCTGTCACAGCTGCTGAGATCCTCGTCTTGCTGCTTGAGTTGTAAGGGGCGGGGAAGTTTGGGGGGAGTGGTCTCCTCATTTTCCGAGTCAGAATCTGAACCTGAGATGCTTGAGACGGAACCTTAATTACAAACAGGACAATGTATTATAGATTTCTTACAGTTATGTACAGAAGAATTTACAACAGAATACATTACATACAGATTTATTACAATTATCATAATTATGTACAGAAAACAGATTACATTACAGACAGATTTATTACAATTATATACAACAATTATATACTACATATTTAAATAATCACATACAAAATAATGTACAAAAGATATATACGTATTTCAATTAGACTTATAAGTAATAGAAAATACTGTACTTGACATTTTTTGCAGGTCTAAATATAGCTTGATCAAGCATTTCTTTTACTATTGAAATTTTTAAGATTACCTGGTAAAATTGCAAAAATAAAATTTACACTTTACCACAAATATCCTCAAATTCTTCCTCTTTAAGACTTGTTTTTCCTTTGAGTTTCCTCTGAAGGTTATAGCGATGCCAATCTGATTTAAAGTGCTCTTTCTACAATTTTACAATTATTTTTCATTAAAATTTGTTTTGTTAACATTGGTGCTCAATCTCTGGTTATTTGTACATGTAGTAAGTTTAGTGTTGAGTTTATTCCTTTGTAGAAATAAAGGGCACAGTATCCAATAAAAATAATTGGATTCTGAAGATGAATACATGTATGTTAATCAAACCTAGCATTAAGTTATCTGATCTAGCTTTAAGGTATCTGACCTAGCTTTAAGGTATCTGATCTAGCTTTAAGGTATCTGGTCTAGCTTTAAGGTACCTGATCTTGTCTACTCTGGAACTCCACACCACAGGAATTACATGCCATCCTCTCTGGGACCTGTATAATGGTTGTTAGCTCTGGGTTTGTTTCTGATGCAGAGAGCTGGTCTGGTAAAAAAAATTCAAAACATATTAAATTTAAGAATTTTATATCAAACACAATTCTTTATTCAAACTGATATCATTTTCTTAGACAGGCAAGTCCTACTTATTTTTTCTTAATTATCTTCAACAATGATTTTATTTTCTATTAGTCTGTGCTATTTATTCAAATTGCTTATGTTTCATTTCATCTTATTCTTATTTTAAACAAAATTTTCATAATTACATTAAAAAATTATTTTCATTTTAAAGAGTTAAACGTCTGTCTTTGCCATTCCCTTAATAATATAATTCATATGATAATTCATGTGTGACAACATAAACAAGGGCATTATCCATAAACATAATGTAAAATCACTGATTTTCGTGGGTGTTTAATTTTCATTGTTTTCAAGGTTTGGAAAGACCCACGAATTCATGACCACCACGAAATGAAAAATTTCAAATGCATTACTACTTAACAGCTTAACAATCTTTAATTTATCCACAAAATCAAATCCCCACAAACAAATATTTTCCCCTCAAACACTGAAAGTTTGACCCCCCAAAAAATATTTAATTTTACAGTAACATACCTGATAATGGTTGACTAGTGTCTTGATTTGAATCCTTCCTCTCTGATACAGAACCATGTTCTGACGTCGGGTTACAGTTGGCTAGTGACAGTCCGTCCAATTTTGTCGCGGCTTCTTCTGTATTGTAGAATCGGACAGTCCAGTACTTTTTACTGGCTTTCTTCTGTAGTCTTTTTGGAGAACTTTGTGGACTAACCCTGAGTTTTGTCCCATCTGCCATCTCTTTCTTAAGATCAGCGACAGTTGTGTTTACTTCATATCCTGTTAACTGCTGGTTTCCTTTGTGTTCAGACATTATGTCTTTTTCCAAGGTCTACCTATCTGCTCAAAATAAATGTAGATTTATATATCAGAATCCGGGAATTATGGTCATTTACATTTTGCTGATTGCTCGAAACAAAAGGAATCGGAAATTTTCACTTTAGGAATATCATGATCATGTTTTCACCCTTAAATTGATAGGCCTAGTCAAATATTAATTCTAATATATTGATCAGATGTTCATCCATAACACACATTCAATAAATAAAATTTTTAATAGATAATGAACGTAAACACAGTTTTTTTTTCTTATCTAATCATCAATATTAACATTATCTGATTATCAGATTATGTTCCTCTTGTGCCACATGGCATAATTTGTAATGAATGTCAAGATCTGGTTTTTGTATAAAACAAAGATTATTGAATATAAATCACAGTTTTATGTATATTATCAAACCCAAGCAAAACTGACCCCTATAAAAAAATAAAATGGAGGATTGTTACATAGACTTCTGCATATCAATGGAAAGATAAAATTGTGAATTTTGTTATCCAACTATGTGCAACATTACTACTAGTATTAAAAAAATATATTGAAAATACCTTGCATTTTTAACCCCCCTGTCTGCCAATAATTTATTTCAGAGTTACCAAACTTTTTACTAAGGCTAGCGGTAAATCTAGTAAAACTGCATGTTTTGGGACCCCCTAATTCTCACAATTTTTTTTTCATCTTTTTTTCATTCTGCCGCAAATAAAAACAAAAAAAGATGCAGTTTTCATACTTATCAGAAAATACTTGTCTCTCTGGGAACACTGTAACGTATATTATGATAAAATCAAATTTTTATTTTCCGACTCCCGATCCAATATTGTTCAGGACAGATTTTTTTTTAAATTAATATTCTGGAGTCGGGAGTCGAATATACTTTATTTACCCCCTCCTGTGGTAGATGCGGTTTCCTGTCTATTCGTCATGTAACTTAATATTAAACGTTTGAGCAGATGGTAGACTAAAATTTTAATTCTTTGATGTTGATCCGTGCAAAAACTAGTGGTTGACTATTAGTAAAGATTTCTAAAATTATTAGTGGGAATGCTTTTTTTTTTTTTTTTTTTTTTTAAATTCTTTACCTCTGACATATTGAAAATCAAATGAAAATACTAAGGACAATCTAGAAGACTTTTCCCTCCCAGTTTCGCGCGATTACAGTGGTTAGAAATGATAGAAAGAAGGGGGCACTACCAAGGAAAAATCCCTGACAAGCAAAAACTATCAATAGACAATATTTTGAGGGTCATAAGCAGTGTAAATTATTTAATTAACAAGGATGATTTACAAGATTTTTTTTTTAGCTATACGAATTTTTAAACTACTTTGGTACATTAATTGTAAACCTGTTCGAGTTATAAATTATCAAGTATATAAGTTGAAATATATACTTACTTATTTATGCCTGCTACCCCTTTGGAATCTGACAAGATTAAAAATCCTCCAGGCCTCCCTATCCTGAGCAATGCTTTCTATTTTTTTTTCCATTTCTTGTCCAATCTTTTGATGTTTACCTCCAAATCTCTCCGCCATGCAGGTGTTCTTTGCATAGCCTGCCTCTAGCTCTTACGTTTGCCTTGAGGATTCCTGGAAAGGCTTGCCTTGTGATGTTATTGTGGGCCTTGCGTAGAGTATGCCCTATCCACTTCCATCTTTGCATTATTTCTTCTTCTTTAGGGTCTCGGTTTGTTTTTTGCCACAATTTCTCCCCACTCCAACCAGGAGTAGGGGGTCTAATAGGCATAGGTATAGGGCAGGTAAAAGTAAAGGGAAAAGTTTCCCTTTAGTTTTTTCCCTAACCTATGTCTCCCTCTCCTAGCATATTTTCTCTCGCACCACTCACTCCCTCTTCCTTACCCTCTCTTTCCTTTTTTTTTTTTTTTTTTTTTTCATTTTTCTGCTAAACATTTCACAACGTATTTGTCGTAGAAAACCTTATATACAGGAATATTATTAAAAAGTAATAGTGTTTTAAGCCTAGCATTACTATCATAGCTAAAATTTACGGTAGTGGTTAGTTAGATTCAAACTTAATCACCACCAATAATTTTTAATTATGATTTTAAACATTATTGAAATCGATGTTGCTGATTTTGTCGGTCCATCTAATCTGGAGTATGCGTCTCAGACACGAGTTGATGAATGTCTGGATCCTGTTTGTTGTTGTGACAGTCATCCTCCATGTCTCCAACAGAACCACAGAAGAACACAACCTTACCGTTGCTATTAAAAAGCCTAACTTCGGTGCATGTTGTAATTCCCTTGGTCTTCCATATGTTTCTAAGTTGCAGGAATGCTACTCTCGCCTTTCCTATTTTTGCTTTTATGTCCGCTTCTGTTCCTCCTTGTTGGTCCATTATACTACCAAAGCAGGTGAAATGTTCTCCTTCCTTTCCTTCTATATAATAACCAATGATTTGTTTGTGATGGTGTGTTTGCTCTTAGGATCTTTTTGCAATATTGATGTTGAGTCCTATCTGTGCTTATGTTTCGAACACCTTTGTCATTTTCTCCTACATTTGTGCCTGAATGTGTGATAGGAGTGTCAGGTCATCCGCGAAGTCTAGATCATCTAACTATATGTGACTGTGGTGTCAAATAAATGAAATAAATATACTTTAGTATACAAGTAAAATTGATGCAAAGCATCAAATCGGCCGCTAACAAAATCTAGCATTTCAAAAAGTACTTTCACAATTTTATAAAAGTATCGATCCATGCAATGAAAGCACTGTCAAGATATTCAAAGCTGAGATAGCACCAGCACTTGATCATTTTTATTTCAGTCTGTCTTCAAAGCAATACAAATAAATAAATAAAAAAAAAATGAAAATTTTATTGCATTTGCTCATCAATTGGATTCATCGAGAAAAATGAACCACGTGCTGATACCAAGGATCTTTGTCACGTGATAATGCTTATATAGTTATGGTTTCTGCAGAGTAGATGTCAAATTTGATAAATACAACACAGATGCTGAAACATCAAAATAAAAGTAAAATACACAAAATCACTCCTTGACAAAACATTACATGCACCTGCATATAAAAGAATTTAAGCGTATATTTAGAAATCATTAATATTTATTATAAATGGCGTTAAAATTGAGTTTGGAGACTTTGAATGAAAATCATATAAAATTGGTATTTCTAGTGGCCAACAGCAATTACGTAAAGGAGAAAGTCCGAAAACTGTCCATTCTGTGAGAGAAAGAACTGTTCGATAGTTTTTTTCTCTCATAGATTGGACAGTTTGAGGACTTTATCCTACTTAAAACATTTTCTTTATTGTTAACTTAATAAACTGTCCCAGGTGATGGTGATGTATTTGCAATGATTACGGCATACACTTGATAGTCCATAGATAAGAGGGGTGAAAACAATATAGCTGTATTGTTTAACTTAATGGACAGTGCCAGGTAAATTTAGATTTAAATGATAGCTCACTTGATTTCTGACTACTTCCTATGTAAAGCTTCATGAAAGACGATGTCCTCATCGGATGGAGAAAGTAATGCATACTTCTCCAAAATACAGGAAAAGGTTAGTAAATACTCGAAAGTAGGTACATGTAGACACAAGCAAAGGCCTGTAGGTATGTAGAATCTGAAGTTAGTGTTCAAGTTTTGACAAAAAATATCGCAATGTTTGTGAACAATCAGGATTTAAGGGACACTATACGAAACATATTCTTTGAGAACAACACCGGCGACCCGCTTGTATGAAGCCGAGATTGAGGAGCAGCTAATAAAAGAGAAAACGGGCCACAAATCTATTACAGTTTTATCCTACATTTGAACCAACAATGAATAGTAGCAGAGAGTAAATGAAATAATCCATGGGAATATGGGGATTCAGAGAATGGCAAGTGTATGAAAAAGATGAAAATTTGTGATCCCTGTCCCAAAAATGATTCCTCCTGCAGTGCATCTAGTGAGGTTATCATTTCATCAGGAAACATGCCTTAATTCTCTTTTTAAAATTTAAATTGTTGTTGAATATATTTTTAAACATTCATGGAATGGATCTACTACGTCCAGCATTCATTTACAACTGTTGTGAAGAGGATGAGACGTTTGTTTATTATTAAAAAAAACTTCTGGATGTGGATGTTCTAAAATCATTATCCATCAGGATATCACTTTTTGCATTGGATTTGTCATTTCCAAAGAGAATATACTGTTGAAGATTTCTTATACAAATGTTTGATATTTATGCGTAATTGTGTATTGCATTAAAAATATTATTTTCCTGTTTTCATTACTAAATTAAGTTCAGAAAATGTTTTGCATTTTATGTATTGTTTTCAACATTTAAAACCTGTACATTAAGTTACCTGTAACCGTACATTAAGTTGACAAAAAGCTGTATAGATTAAGTTAAGAATTGAGAGTTTTGCCAACTTAATGTACAGTTACAGGTGACTTAATGTACAGGTTTTAAATATCCCAATATATTATGCTGTATAATGTACTAAAACACAAAGGATTACATAACAAAAATGTTTTAATACTGAATATGATTCAGCCATAAATTGTTATTTGAAATTTGTTATATATATATATATATATCAAGGATTTTTTGAGAAACTGTATATTTTGGATGAGCATACTCATATAGGGTGACTCAAAATCGCAGAGAAAATAGGATATGGGCCAGTGTGCATCTTTTACTTAGCCAGTCCAGTCCAATACGAAAAATCGTAATGTTACGAAATATCGTAATATTATTCTTATATTACTATTTTTCGTAATATAGTTAAATTACGGAAACTCGTAATACAGCAAGTTGAGAGAGAATATATTACGAATTTTCGTAATGCAAGACAAAATTAAGCATTGAAAGAAACTGAATGATGTTTAGGGAAGTATGACGTCAGAAATACATTATGCCCCAATGGTACTAGTATCACGTGGTCATCTTGGTCAGTGACGTCTATCGAAAAGTATGGAAATGCAAGAAGAAAGTAACAATGGTAATGGGTGAGTGAACATTTTGTTTTATGATTCTTATATAAGAATTTTCCCAAGAATGCGAACAATTTTCCATAAAATTTCAATGTATCTTCAAACTTGTCACAATGGTCTATAATACCCGAATTCCCTATATTTTTCCCGAAGTCTACCCTGCAGACCCTCATCTCAAATAACAAGATTTACGAGAGATATTGTAAGACTCTCACTAGGCTCTGAATCTTTGCACTTGGATCAAATGCACCAAAACAAAGAAAATCCACTAATCGTACATATCCATGATATCATAATGATGAAACCATAGACATATAATCTCTGATGGAACATAACAAAGAGATTGTATCAGAAAAAAGGGAAGTAACTCTTAGAAGAGTTAGAAATTGCTTATATTACGAATTTTAGTAATATTACGATTTTTCGTATTGGACTGGACTGCTTAGCTACGGTACAATTAAGTTAATCTTTTTGTACTTAAATTTTAACTCTTATTTAAATCACACTTTCACCTTTATCATAGTATACCAGAATTGCATGTACCAATGGCAATAATTATACTCTTATTTTACCTGAAATAGTTTTAATAATATTTATCATCGAACAAATATTGCAAATTAATATTCGTAAATTATTGTATGAACTTTTTGCACTAAAAAGTTACATATTATTTGGGGTATTGAAAATCTAAACAGATAGTTTTCGATAGGCCTGAATTTAGCGAAAGTTACCTCCCGTTGGTCGCCATATTGGAGGTCGACTCAGTGATTTCCCTCTTTGTCTTACCAAGTTTAAGAGGTTGTAGCAGAAATATTTGGTGGAAAATCTTTAATAAATAATTTTTTTTAGATAAAGGAGGCTTCCAAAAATTTATATACTTCAGAAAAATAATGATTTCTAATTCAAAATAGCAAATATAAAAAAATTAATTTGGTTGAACAATGAAGGAATATTATGAGCATTTGGACTTCCAGTATGGCGGCCAACGGGAAGTAACTCCATCTTCGCTAGCCAAGGGTTTCTGATATGCTCCTCTCCTCATAAACCCTTGGCCTACGGTGTTCATGGAAATCGGGATTTTTTTCCAGAGTTCTGATTGGATTTCAGTACACCCAGGTCGACCAATCAGCAATTGTTTTTTGTAAATGACGATATTTGCGTTCGGGATACATCTTCAGTAATTCTTCACTCTTTAATCTCGGAAATGAAAAACGCAAGAAAACAACGATCCGTAAGATAACATTCAATTCTATGAATAGCCATGGTGTCATCCAATATCTTCTTAATCAAAATTTAGATACGTCATAAAATTTAATTATAATAAATAGTAGGGCTGGGTATTGGCCCGAGATTTCGTATTGCGATATATTGCGATATTTTTAACTGTATTGCGATATGTATTGCAATATTTTTAATGTAATAAAAATGGCATTTTCTTACTAAATTTACATGAAATTACATGCAGAATGTACATAACTGTGATAAGTAACCAACACAGAAAAAAATCTTGTTGATTTCATTTAAGTAATGCTCTAAAATTTTCCCACCAAACAACTTATGACTTACTGTTTGGCTTAATAACAAACTTTCATCAGTCCATTTTGATATTTAATGACAAAATTCCTTAATCTAAGCATATTGCCAATATATCGATATTACAAAATCGTATTGCGATACGATATATTTTGTCATTGTATTGCAATATATTGAAATATCGATATTATTGCCCAGCCCTAATAAATAGTTTAGAATTAATATGTTCTGCTGAAATTTTCTTTTAAAAAACCCGAAGAATGACATATACCTTTAAATAGAAAAAAAAGATTGACACAAAGTAATGTCAAATCAAAATGTCCATTAGAGCGAAACACTCTGCATTGAATTAATTTTAAACCACTTTTATCATGTTTATAATATAGACAGGTGACTATGAATACACTTGTAAACAAGTTTAACTTGTTTTCGGTGGCGGTGTAATATGGCACGGTGCATCGATCTAGTGAATTATATTATCATCATATCGATGCTTCATATTTATCGCACCATCCCCATCATCAGGAACCATGGTAATAAATGTAAAAAATAAAACAAGATATGAGAAAAGACCAGAGAAAATCCTAACTGATTTATTGAATGTCACCAGGGTTACGGCATGAATGGACCGCCGTACCTTACTTTGCATATTATGAAAATAGGAATGCCTATTAATAATAATGATTTGTTCGTCTGGATTGCGGAAGTTTGTTCCACGGACAACACGGGTAGGACTGTTCAATAATCCAAGTTTTCTTTCCAATACGACACCGTTATTAACACAGACTATGGCGAGTTCGGACTTTAATGGTTTTCGTGAGGAGTTTGGTAAGGCTAAAAACATCGTAGTACTCACTGGTGCCGGAGTAAGCGCGGAGAGCGGAGTGCCCACATTTCGGGGTGCTGGTGGCTTATGGAGGAAATTTGCAGCCCAGGATTTGGCAGACCCTAGCGCATTTCGCATGAATCCTTCACTTGTTTGGGAATTTTATCATTACCGACGCGAAGTTATGGCTTCCAAAGATCCCAACCCGGCTCATATTGCTATTGCTGAATGCGAAAAAAGACTAAAACCTCAAGGGCGTGATGTTACCGTTATTACGCAGAATATTGATGAGTTACACCAACGTGCTGGATCTACGAATGTCATAGAGCTGCACGGAAACCTTTTCAAAACGAGGTGCACAAAATGCCAGGACGTCCAGTTTAATCGCAATAGCCCCATCTGCGAAGCGTTGGCGGGAAAAGGAGAACCAGATCCAAACGCTGACGATGCCCGAATCCCTGAAGAGCAACTTCCACGGTGTACAAAAGAAAATTGTGGTGGACTGCTTCGCCCGGGTGTTGTTTGGTTTAACGAATGTTTGAATGACTCTGTTCTGAAGGCAGCACACGACAAACTGGATGAATGTGACTTGTGTCTTGTGGTTGGAACGTCATCTGTTGTGTATCCCGCGTGCTTGTTTGCCCCCGAGGTGGCCTCTAGGGGGGTTCCTGTGGCCGAGTTTAACGTAGAGGCTACAGGTGTCACCGACAGTCTTGGATTCCATTTCCGAGGCCCCGCTGGGGAATGGCTTCCTAAAGCTTTGGCTCCCCACCCTAATGAGAAGACGAATTAGTGCAACCTGGCACACAATATGTACTTGACAGTTCCACTTATAGACTTTTCAGCGTTAAGTATATTACATTCATTGTAAAAGAAAGTGAATACTGAATTATAGATTTTTGCTGGGAGTGATAAAGATATCTGATTTTTTGATGTACGAATTTTTATTTATTATTAAGTTTTTTGCTTTGCGGTTCTTCTGCTTCTTTTAAAAAGATGTTACTGTTTTTTTTTTGACTGCATTCATGCATGAAATGTTTTATGATGAAGAAGATCAGATCGATTATGCTCTTGAAAACGCTTAACTTCAAGTGAGCAGCAATCACATATCACAACATCTAACCGCACTTTTGTTACAGAAATATTCATGATATTCATTATATTGCTGGCAGTTTTTACATCTTACAATTTGTTTAGTTTGGGATCAATAAAATGTCTTTCAGTGTTTTGCTATTTACTAGCCATCTTTAGGAAATCGGTCAGTCACCTAAAATTAGTTACTCAGTAATCTTTCAATCACATTTACTTAGATATTCAGTTATCTTTCAGTCATCAATTCAGTTTTAATAATAAATGGCTGCGTTGCATCCTGTTAATCATTATGAATCTGCAGATAGGTTCTTTGAAGTTAATTTAAGACGATAAAGTTCTACGCAGTGTTTGACTCCAAACTGTTAGAATTTATATTCAAGGGCACTATATTTTTTTTTAATTTTTGCAGGCATGCAGACCTTTTAATATTACTTTGACTTTCAATTCGGCATTCAGATTCAATCATGCATATGACAAACTTAATTCAGAACAAAGTGGGTTGTACTATGTTATTTCAATAAGTATATAAGTTATGTGATAATAATTTAAAACAGCTATATAAAAATAAATTCATTTTAAAATGGTCCCATTTTTTACACGTCTATATCCCGTTGATTTTCCATAGTAGGCCTTAACAGTGCTGCGTATCGATCTTAAAGTCAATTTTATAAAGAAACATGTACGAGAAAATGTTGATGCTGTCAGTCTTTTACATAGGCGTATCTATGCTGCAGATCGATTTTACGTAACTCATTTAGACCTTCCTTGCATGCATTTGAAATTTACGGAAACAGGTAACCGTCTTGTTGAACGTATCACTCGACCGTGCCATGATGAACAGATAGCCCGCGTGGCGCAGTGGTTAAAGCGTTCCAAGTTACCATGAATCCTAAGGATTCCTGATCCTTACGTCGCGGGTTGAATCCAGGCTGTGTGTGGATGCTAAATCTGTAAAAGACCGTTTAAAGCGTGGCCCTGTATCGCAGTTAAAGTTTTTGAAAAAGTTTCATTTCCAAATGGCCCTAAGTGCCGAGTACAGAACACAATTTGTAGCTCATCCTCGGCAAGTGGCTGCGTCTCAATATGAGTGAAACATTCTCGAGAGGGACGTTAAACAACATACAACCAATCACAATGAACATTTTTTTCTAACTAGGAGAAAAAATTAACGATGCTTGCTCGCTGATACAGTGTCTTTAGACGAATAAGAAAGAGGAGACGAAACATATGTATTTGTCACATACTAAGTACATTGTAATGTTGACATATGATTAACAATCTTGCATGTAAAATTAAACAACAAAACATAGACTACACCTTCTATCCAATTGTAAAATTCCAGGTTTTTGCCTCTAAAAGTTATGGGTGCATGGAAAGGAGGTGTTACCAAGAAACTGACTTATATAAACAGATTTTAAACTGATACAGACTATTAACAAACAACTTGACACGATATGGAATTTAACAGTTAGTCTTTTTGAGAGAACCACTTTGAAAATTTTTATATAGTCTTATAGTGATGGATCAAATCAAAATTGCATTAATTTTGCATTTTTTGGATGTACACTTTCTGTTGGTTAGAATGTATATATCCTACAAATCAAAATAACATTTCACATTGATCCCGATGCAAATTACGTATGTTTCCTTTACCACAGCCTTTTAAAATTCCTTTGACTTTCAATTCGGCATTCAGATTCAAACACACACGATTGCATTTAAATTTGTTCTCCCTTTTTTGCGATTCTTAATTTCAATTCAACATTTAGATACATGAACGTTTTTTTTTTAATTTCAATAATAATTTTAATTCGTACCCGGCATAATTGTCGACTCCATAAGTCCCAGTGAAATCTGAATGAAATACACCAAAGAGTCTAGTGGTTTTTTTTGCAAATTCCCTCTTCCAAAGTCAATTTTACAAAGAAACATGCATATAAGAGAAAATGTTGATGAAGTTAGTCTTTTACATGGGCGTATCTATGCTGCAAATCGATTTTACATAACTCGTTGAAGGAAATCACTGATATAAAACATAATAAAACTTGTTGAACGGATCAATATTCAGTATATAATGAACATGTTTTTTAAAGGAGCAAAAATTAACGACACTTGCTGATATCAGACCTTTACGTGAATCAGATGATTGATTGTATGCTGTTCAACGTCCCTCCTACCTATATAGAGCGAACTTAACGGTGTAGAGTTTACAAATTTTATCCCAATAACCTGGCACAACGTAGGCTGACCAGTGGGGAAACTTTTACAACTTTTATCGTCCAGCACACACCGCGACACGGGACTTCGGTTCCTCCCATCCTATTTCAACACACAAATCAAATGGTGTAGCCAAACCCGCGCAACGTAAGGTAGGCACAACGGCAACCTGTAACTCCTGCGATACATGTACGGGCTATTAGGTGAATGTTAAGATAAGCAAGATCAAATTGTGTCACATATGATTATATATGATACCACAATGAACAAACTTGCATGAAGATTAAACAACGAAAGACACCTTTATCAATTTAAAATTTCCTTTTGTACTGTCATATTGTGATTTTGCCTCTAAACCAAATCGAATGAAAGAAACGTATTCAGAGAACAAACATATTTTAAATTGATGCAGACTATTAACAAAGAACTTGACATAATATGGATTTCAATGGTCTTTATGAAAGACACACTTTGACACACAATATATGTGTCAGTTATAAAAATGAACAAGAGATTTGGAGCATATATCCTCTCTTCGTAATATATCTGGACTCAAAACTTCACTCACAATCGGTTTCATAAGGCCACAAGGAGTTCCCCTGAAATATTACATACAATCAGATTGACCATATTTGCACCAGCAACACACACGAGAAATGGAATGATGTATTTTGTGCGAGGAAATCATTTCATTAGACCTGCAAGACGTGTAATGCTGGATGGTAACTTCCTAAGGGTGTGTCCAATCTTGTCCCACTTCTTCCCTTCAGGATTTTAATGAGATTCATATAATAATGTACTCTTCTGGCTTCTCTCTTCAATAAAGTTTTCAAAATGTGGTTCTTTTTGATCAAGGCTATGATTCACTTATAAAACAAAATAAAACTGTTATTTGAAGTTAATTTAAGAAAGAAAACTACGCAGTCAATTGACACCTTGCAATTGTTTGAATGATTATATTCAAGGGCAACAATTTTTATCAAAAAAAACTAAGTTACAGAAGACCTTTAATATTCCTTTGACTTTCAATTCGATATTTAGATACTAGTAATTAATGTATATGGATGACATTCTTATAGTTTGTAATCTGAGCTCCACTTTGCATTCCTACAACATTCAATTCAATGGCTCTATTTGTATGTTAAAGATGAAAAACAGCACAAGGTTAATTTTGTATTTCTCCATGTATGTCTCTGTCCTTTACAATAAGACAGAATTTTTATCTGAGCTGAGCATCGGTTTGGTAGCAAAGTAAAGGATTTTTGAGACCCAGATATTCTAAATCATTGTAACACAGCTTTTGCCATGCCAGTTGTGTAACCTGATGTCACGGATAATGTTCAGTCATAGTTAAGATAAGCAAGATCACACTCCCCAAATAGATGAAGGACTTAACTTCTCTTATGGGGTCACTACTAATTGCAAATTTTGGGCAATTGTGTTGATTTTCATATTATGATTCCTTCAAGTTTATCTTGAGTCCTGTTCCTGCTGATGGTGCTGCAAGGCGTGTTTGTTTTGAAATGCAGTTAACTGTTTGTGCGAAAAGAGAGATAGGTCATTAACAAAGTCTTGATCGTCAAGATGGGTCAGATGGAAGTATCCACTGTATACTACGGTATTGTTCCTGCATGTTAATTGTATTCCTCATGATCCAGTCAATTACTAAGAGGAAGAGGAATGGTGACAGCAAATATCCTTGTTGACCTCAAAATGTACCAAGTGGACACATTAGGATATATTCTGCTTTTATAACTTGTATTTAATGTTTGATTTAGGTTGTTTTTATGTATTCACTATGAAAGACAAAAATTGGAATTAATGAGCACTCTTTTTTAAAAAAAAAGTCGTCAACAGTATGGTGGAAAACCGAACGTCGAGATATCTTTTGGAGACAATACATGAACATTAAACTTTCTCTAAATACTGGTGATTTACATTTAAACTTTTTTATGCTTTAGAGGATTATCAAAACAACAAAGAATAAAAAATTCATAAATAAAAGAATCAAAATACATTTTGTTTACATGTCTTCAATTTAATTTCTGTCAATGAGAATTAGAATTTTAGAAAAATAACATCAATTATACTTAATAGGTACAGTAAGTGAATAGCAGATTTTGTGCTAAAATGGGAGAATACAAAAAAGTAACTACATGTATACGTACAGTTTTTCTTTATGATGTCCTCTTCAGGTCAAAATATAACAATTTCGCCTACATGTATGTACTGAAACTGTTTAACAAGATGTAAGGAGGTAAGCGTAGTAAGATACATCGGTCTTACAATAACCAAACATTAACTATGTATCCTAAATTCAATCATTCCACTTATAACAAATGGGCGAGTTCAATGCTAACAAATATTCTGACAACGTTAAAAAAAATGTAACATTCTTTCTCACAAGAGTCCAGTCATTCAATTCGATCAAGTTGTTTGAACCTTTTTCATTCACAATATATAGTATAATAATTTATATCATCGGGATTGGAGACAATTTCCAAAATCTTAAGTGATCTTTTTGAAAGCAACTTGTTTATCTTTGAAAAGTCAAAACTAAAGAATGTCTATACTTAAAACATAAACTGAAGCAATATTTACGCAAATGATGCACGCCATGAAGACTTTTTCTACTCTCATAGCTGTGTCTTTACTGCAGGAAGTGGTAGGTTTCAGACGTCCTCCTGGACTAGTTAATGTTTTATGGCTTTCCATCACCTTGTAGACAGTCTTACAATGAAGTTGTTGTACATTTTCTTTTTTCTCGGGATCGGGATCTCCATGATAGATACGAAGAACAATGGTTTCCAGAATCACAACCATAGCACTCAGAATAACCTGTGTAGTAACATAAATGCTGAACCACGAGATGTTCTCTGAGGATGAAGGCATTGTGTCGCTTAGAATGCTGGCAAACACAGCAAAGGTTAGAAATAAAGCCATAGACATGCCAATTTTCTCCCCGGCTTCTATTGGCAAAACAAAGCAGAATATGTTCATGGTTGAAAGCACCACTATCGGTATCACAAATGTTAAAATGGCCATGGTTGGACGTCGTTGTATCTTCACGACAAAATCGAGTCTAATATCTATGGAATCATTTCCTCTTCCGTACATTATTTTTTTAATTTCCTTTTCTATAGAAATTAGGTTCCACTCTCCATTAGCTGTTAGGGTTGATAAGTCAATTGAACATATTTTGTCATCAATTTTTATTTCATGAATATTTGATAATAAAGACTGGAATGCATAAGTGCATTTCTGTTCGTCAAACGGATATTTCTCCATATTAATTTCACATTGAATCGTGCTCTTCACCGTATCGTATAAAATTACTGCCCCATAAGGTAAAATAAAAACTTCATTGTTTTTTACGGAATTAAAACTGATACATTTCTTGTCAATTTCTAGTTCATTCAAATTACAAACGGCTGGAATCCAGACTTTTTGGGCAGGAATCCTTAGACCTTTGACATCATATTCTGAGATATTCCAGCGGAGATATTCATCTCTCCAATTATAAGCCAACCAGACAATTGATGAAAACGTTTGTGACTTCTCGTTAACATGTTCTATACTATGAAGCGAAATGGACACACCAAATGGAACATAGTGAGTTCTGTTTAAGACAGGCTTACGAAAGCGATTGTATCCATCAAAGAGCGCATTTTGGAGAGATGTTTCGGGGTCCATTTCCCCAAGGGCTTGACCAAGAGAAAAAAACAACGCAAGGAAAAATACAACACACTTGGACATATTGCGAAACATGTTCAGTGACAATTTAATAGAGGAGGTTACAACATGGACATTGCAAAAGCATGATTTATACTTTTATTTTTATCAGTCAATAATTATGCTTTTTATTAACAAAGCAGAACCTCGTATGAATAGTTTTAATTTTTATTGACTTAACGAGAACTGTAATGTTTCACGCCATTATCATGTTGGAAACCATTTATATAATTATTGATATTGATATGGAACAATTAAACTGAATTAGTGAAGATCAATATTTTAATCTTGTATATATTTATTAGTTACAATGTCTTAGCTATGTCCCAAACATTATTTGCATTGATGAATGAGCTATACAAAGAACAATTCTGAATTTCGGACAAAGACTGATTTCAGGAAGCACAGTCTGATAGAAGGTTGTCTTTCTCGTTTTTTTGGATGTTCTGCTTAACTATAGCTATAATCTGAAAAAAAACGATACATATATATTATTATAACAGTAACTTGATCAGAAGGGTCGTATCACGTCGAGTTGACAGGCGCTGATCATCAGATCAAACGAGACGCGAAGCGTCGAGTTTGATCTGATGATCCGCGCCTTTCAACGGACCTCCTTAACGGACCGAATAAATGCTGCCTGCAGGAAAGGTAAAAACTCCTTTTATACTCTCACAGACATTGGATATCCCTACCTTAATCCACTAACCTTAGTCCATCTGTACAAATCGGTCATCCTGCCTTCTGTATTGTACGGCTGCGAACTGTGGAATAACTTGTCAGCAACAGATTCTCAACGCCTTCATGACATTCTATATGCAAGTCCTCACAGAACCTTCCACGCCAAACTACATCCGATATCTGTGAAACCCTCTTTCACGTCCTTCCAATAAGTGTTGAGATAGACTAAGGAAACTCGTGTTCTTTGGACGTCTGTGTCGTATGAACTGCAATATTTTACCAAAGAAAATATTTTTAGTCCTTCTGTTTTCCTTCTTTGCTAACCTGAGCAACTGTCAACAAGGATTTGTTCCAGATGCCATTAACCTACTGTGTGCATATGATCTTCTTCAATTCTTATACGAATGGGTAGCTGACGGCGTCTTCCCTTCCAAATTAAGTTGGAGAAACATTGTAAGATCTACAACCAGCAGAAAACAGAAGGATTTAAGACAATGTCGTATGGCGAACAACACTGATTTCTCTAGGTTTCATGCAGTCTTCTGTGATAACGACCCATCTTCCTTCTGGCGAACACCAAAGAATTGCTATGAAATTCGCTTATACAAATTCATATGCAAACTCCTTTCTGACCCGCCGCGTGACTCAGTGGATATCTGTCGCTTCTGTGGGACTGCATTCCGTGATCTGTTTGTCCATGTTAGTTGTTCATGCCTTATCACTTCGAACATCCGGAACAACTGGTGCAGTGACATCACAAACACCTTCTGTATTGAACTTTCAGCTGAGGTATGTGCACTCACCGATGAAGAACTGTATGTCATACTCCTTGGTCGCGCTCTAAACACCAGGATAGCAGAACAGAACGTTGTAGATTTCCAAGTAAAGAACTTCCGACTTATACGGGATGCATCAGCACATTACTACAGGGTGATGTATCAACATATGCCAGTGGGGGACAGTTAACAAATTCCCTCTTGTATGAAGTGATACGTTGTATATATCCATTAACTATTTTCACTTTCGTTTTCTTCTGTTTGATTATTTTCTTTTCCTAACTTTGTACAATGAATAGTTGATTTTGTTCTGATTGTGTTAAATAATCTCATATTATGAGGAAATAAAGAATGAATGAATTATAACTGGCTAAATATGTTAAAATAAACCTTTAGAGATAAATTGGATAATATTAATCCATTAAACAAAGCATAATAACAAGGGACTTTTTAACGCGCAAGAAAAATAACGTCATATTTCTGCGTACTACGTCATCAGTTTCAGAGAGTGGTGATATGGATTCAAAAAACAACATGTTGGTGATCCGGAAAATCGGATCACGACGTCATGTGGTAGCGTAAATTCAACAGTAAAATTGGATGATACACATTAGGTATATAATAAAAGATAATACTGATGGCTCATTAGTTCAGTAACTGTCCATGATTGAATCATTATTCGTTGAATATCAGTTTGAATATTCCTCAAAAAGGGTCAATTAGGTCTGCAGGATAGAACACCGTCATTTCGTAACTCAAAAGTGATTGGAAGATTACTGATAGTTTAATAAAAGGTTACTTAATTACAAACCTATATATGCTACTTAGGGACCTTTAAAGCTTTCTATATCACTGAGGTGACTGAAATGTGCAGATTCGTTATTTGAATATTTGTGCATTACAATGTTGTATCAATCCACAAAGTCTGGTACCTACATAATTATTATCAATATCTTTATATATACTTAAAACGACTTTAAAAAACGTGCACAGGGTGTGAATAGCCAGGGCTAATATCAGTTGAACTATTCTTAACTAAAAATATTATATATGTGTTTTTTTTCGGGGAGGGAGGGGGGTTAAATTTAAATTTCGATCCTATGACAGGGTGCCTTAAAATATTTTGAATTATTCCTTACATCACATCCTACTCAAATATCTCAATGTTATTTAGGGGCAAGCCTGCCCTGAGGACTTCTATGCCAAAATCCATGCACAAATTGAAGCACATAATGCTGTTTTGGCCAACTTTGAAGGATTTTTGTAAGTTGTAAATCAATTTTTCTTTCAGATTGCGCTCTCTAAAAACAGACTTTGTCTGAAATCTAGTCTAAAAATAGATCTGTACAATGAAATCATCAATGCTAATTCTTCTTATGTTGAGAAGGAAATGTGATTTTCATTTGAGACCCAGTCATTAACTAACAAAATACACGCATTAAAATATTGATTTTCACTAATTCAGATTAATTGTTCTCTATCAAATTCAATAACTCTGCAAATGGGTTTCCAACATGACAGTCGTGAAACATTAAAACTGCTGTTATTTCAACAGAATTGAAAAGACTCTTTTCTCATACTTGATATTACTATGTAAATAAATCGCATTGATTGGTAAATATAAACGTATACATTTGACTTTGGTAATGTCTATCTTGTAGCATATTCCTTTAATGTCACTGAACATGTTTCGTATTATGTCCAAGTGTGTTCCATTTTTCTTTGCGTCCCTTTTTTCTCTTGGTCAAGCCCTCGGGGAAATGGACCCAGAAACATCTCTCCAAAATGCACTCTTTGATGGATACAATCGATTTCGTAAACCTGTCCTTAACAGAACTAACTATGTTAAATTTGGTGTGTCCATTGCGCTTCATAGTATAGAACATGTTAACGAGAAGTCACAAACGTTTTCATCAATTGTCTGGTTGGCTTATTCGTGGATAGATGAATATCTCCGCTGGAATATCTCAGAATATAATGTTAAAAGTTTGAGGATTCCTGCCGAAAAAGTCTGGATTCCAGCCGTTTGTAATATGAATGAACTAGAAATTGACAAGAAATGTATCAGTTTTAATTCCGTTAAATACAATGAAGTTTTTATTTTACCTTATGGGAGTGTTACTTTATACGATACGGTGAAGAGCACGATTCAGTGTGAAATTAATGTGGAGAGATACCCGTTTGACGAACAGAAATGCACTTATGCCTTTCAGCCTATATTATCAAACACTCATAAATTAGAAATTGAGAAGAAAATTTCCTTAATTGACACATCAAGCCTAACAACAAATGGAGAGTGGAACTTAATTTCTTTAGAAAGGGAAATTAAAAAAATAATGTACGGAAGAAATAATCCCATTGACACTAGACTCGATTTCGTCTTGAAGATACAACGACGTCCAGCCATGGCCATTTTAACCTCGGTGATACCAATAATGGTTCTCTCACTAATGAACATCTTCTGCTTTATTCTGCCAGTGGAAGCCGGGGAGAAAATTGGCATGTCTATGGCTTTATTTCTAACCTTTGCCGTGTTTGCCAGCATTCTAAGCGACACAATGCCTTCATCCTCAGAGAACATCTCGTGGTTCAGCATTTATGTTACTACACAGGTAATTCTGAGCGCGATGGTTGTGATTCTGGAAACCATTGTTCTCCGTATTTATCATGGAGATCCCGATCCCGAGAAAAAAGATAATGTACAACAGCTTCACTGTAATACTGTCTACAAGGTGATGGAAAGCGATAAAACATTAACTAGTCCAGAAGGACTTTTGAAACCTTCCACTTCCCGCAGTAAAGAAAAAGCCATGAGAGTAGAAAACATCTTTATGGTGTGCATCGTCAGCTTAAATATTGCTTCATTTTGTGTTTTATGCATTGAAATTCTTTAGTTTAGACCTTTAAAACAGAATCAATTTACTTTTTGCAAAAGATAGGCTATAATCTATTTAGAAATGTCTTTTAGATATATTTTGAACTCACGTGGATTCGTGTTGCGAATTGACGTTTAGAGATGAAAATAATTTTTGTCATTTGACAAAACGTCAGCAAAATATTGAATACAACAGTCAGAGTTTTTTTTTTAAAGGAGAATGTTTTATTTTGTAATTTTGAGTAGAATAAGAATCATTATGAATTTAAAAAAAATTGTTTTGTAGGTGAATATGATGTACTTTTGTATATCGAAGAAGTCATAGAATTTTACTTTTAAAAAAAGATGTGTTTTAAAATTGTCTAAAAGGTTTTTACGAGTTCTCATTCGATTTTGAACACTTTTAATGCAATTTCTGAAGAGTTGAGACAGGGTTTTCCAAGATTATTTGAAAGACCCTACAATGCATATTTTTAAAGTTGTTAATAATATTTTGGAATTAATCGTATAGGAGGAGAAATCCAGATTGAATTTGTTTGTATTAAGAAATTCTAATACAAAAAGTATGTACAATTAATTGGCATTTGGGTTTGAAGAATCTCTATCCTTGAAAGGAAATCAAGAGCATACTCTAGATATCAACAAGTTGCAGATTTGAATCCAAGTTCTAAAAAGCATTTTAATCGTTATTGTGTTCATATTTGTTTTGTCAACTAGAACTAGTAAATTTGGTTACTTTCTTTCTTATGGAAGAAAGAGAAATGGTTGGCAGTTTGCTATTAACCCTTTCTTTTTTCAGAATTACAATTTCTGTCTAAGAATCAATTCTACAAAAGTATCGTTGTCTTCTCATTTATCAATGATTCGTCTTGTGGTATCATTTTCGACAGAATTCATAATATATATTAGGATATTTTTGCAGATTGATAGATTGAAGTTCCCTGAACTCCAAACCTTCTAAATCAATGTCTTAAGTTCCTCATCGATATAACTACTCTTCCATGATCGTTAGTGACATGTCTACTAGAGTAGGACTACGGATGAAAAGGGAAGAATAAATTTTTGCTTTAGATGGTTTATTTCTATGCAATGTGAATATTTTATTTTTAATTCATACGTTTTAAAGCAATATCGAAAGGACATTTATAAGTAAGAAAAACAGAATGTGGACTGTGGAGAAAGAATGTTACAAATTATTACGGCGTCAAAAATTTTGTTAGGAAGTTTAAGTTTCAGGAACCACAGGGATTTTTCTCATTCATAACACGTTGTGGTTTACAAAGCTTGTCATGGGCAACGTACATAATTACAAATCCCATTCTGGATTCTGTTTTAGAAAAATTTAACTATCGATTTTCTCCGGGATTTTTATACGAGTATATAAATAAAGGCTGTATGACGGACAAAGGAACGAAGTAAAGTTTGGTGTGGAAGATAGATGCATTACCTAAGTGGAAATTAAATCAATCAAATGAGCCATCTTTAAAAAAAATAGCTAAAGTTGACCCGACTCATTTTTTTAACATTCCAGGACACTGATTTTTTTTTATTCCTTTTATCCCGTCACAAAGAAAAGATTTTCACACCTACTTACCCACCCGATACTTTTAAATTGAATCAGAAGAGGACACACAGATATTATTTTAAAGAGGGTCTGAGACCTCGTTAATATTTGGTTATTGTAAGACTGATATACCCGGATATTCTAACTTTGCTTTGTTTTTAAACCGTCTCACCACACAGGGACGTAGCAACCGGGGGGGGGGGGGGGGGGGGGGGGGCTGCCCCCCCCCCCACTTTTTTTGCCAACACTACTTTTACTATTGAAAATGCTCATTGAAAGGCTGGTTGGCCCCCACACTTTATACTAAAGTAAAGAAATATGAAGGAAATATAGTATTGTAAGCTTAAAAAAAATGGATATCGAAAGGAATTGGTAGTGAAGAAAGTTTGCCTCAACCCCCCCCCCCCCCTCCCCCCCACGAAATAGGATTTTCGACTTTGGGCAATTTTTTTTTTCTTGTCAACTTTTTCAGGTAAGTAAAAAAAAATTTCAGTGGCTGCCCCCCCCCCCCCCCCCACTTTCAAAACCGATGCTACGGTCCTGCCACATTCACATTATTACACTGTGACCTTTCTTTTGACGTTGTCATCGCAACCATTAAGAAAACTATACATTTATATGTTCATGTAGTTAAATTACATTTAATTGTTCTGTTTTCTGTTTAGCACTGTTTAACAGCTATTTGAAGCATTGTAATCAAATATTTTTTTCTAAAATTCTAATTCTCATTGGCTCATAGGTACCTTTTCTTTCAATCCGTCGATGACGCAATCTCTGATTTGATATCACGTGACTTTACGATCAGGACTTTTGACAGCACCATAGGCCGAGGGTTTGTGAGGAGATTAGTGGATCAGAAACCCTTGGCTAGCAAAGATGGCTTTGTACTGATTGATTAACAACGATGGTTTTCATATTAAGTACTTAAGATAATATTCAGGCGAAGTGAATTTATGGGAATGAATAGTGCAGCTGTTGCAGGAAAAATGCATAACCAAACGAAATTTTTCTACAATAACTGCAACCTTATTTAATTCCCAAACTATAACAATTAAAGAAATACATTTTACTGTTTATATTTATATCTTCGCGATTGATATATATATGATCATCGTATGTTTCATTGAATGAAGAGTTACTGTTCAAGAATTAATCTGCACATTAAATGGTTGTCAAGTTGTGTTTACTGACTGATAAATGATAATTATAAAAATAAAGAAATAAAGGAGAAAATAATCACTATTTGTAAACTTGTCCGATTAAATCGAAACATTGATTGATTGTATGTTGTTTAACGTCCCTCTTAAGAATTTTTCATTCACATCTACGTTCAGAATTTTTTTTAATGTTGATGTAAAAAGATTTCATTTTATTTCATAAATGTGCTTGATGAGATGTGAGATAAAACTAAATATTTACATTTCCAATGTCTTTGTCTGAGATAAAATTACCAAATGTAAATGTAATTGATTTCCTCATGAATGTCCTTTGGCGCGGTTCCAAAAAAACCACGTGCAGGGCCAACACCTAGAGAGAAGCAGGCTTGGAGCCATAATTTGTTTGGATTGGCAGAATCAAAGCATGTAAATCATAATATAATAATATAATTTTTCAAACATTCATGAAGATTGCACATCTATATCTTGAAATATAAAGAATTCAGAATTTTTTTAATATTGGTGTAAAAAGAATTTTATTTCATGTGCTTGATATGATGTGAGATAAAACTAATTTAATACGATTTTTAGTACTACATGCTGAATGATTTTCGTGTATAGAAATTATTTTTAAAATGAACAATTGAGGGTTACGAGGGTTGATCCAAAAGTTCGTGGAATTTCTTCATATTTTATTCATTTTTATGTGAAATTGGTTCAAAATTACAAATAAGAATATAGACACTTGTTGAATATTTTAAATTTAAAAAAAAAACATTTTAAATATTTATGATTGTATAATAGTAATAGATGTTGCCTAGGAAACGGTTGCTTGGAATTGCAGGGGAGACATTAACGCGTTTATTATCATTTTAATTCTTAATACGTGAAATAAGAATAAAACCACCCTACGTGGTATATAAAACAAAAATTATGTTATTATTACGATTGCTTGATCTTTTATAAACCTTTGTGTGAGAGTTATACTGATTTTACTTAATATTTAGTTAATTAGTTGGTGATTTATTGTTCATCTTTTTAAAAGTTGTTAGACAACGTTAAATTTCGGTCAAGTCATAAATTTTGTAAAAATCCCGGGATCACTCTATCTTTAACACGTATGTTATATTGACATAGGCTGGGGGGAAATGCATTTAGTTATTGGTTTTTCAGTGGTATAAGAAATTTAAGAAAAATAGAACTTCCATGCATGGACGCTGATTAAAGCTAGTGTGGCCGCCTTTTGGGGGCTCTGTTTCAAGTGTTTATCCCCCTAGACAAATTAAAATCGTTAATGGACCTTACCGGTGTAACGTTGATATTTGATCCGGGTTGAAAATTGACCCGGGGGTCATTTTTCAACATTGAATACTGAGACCAAGGTGTTGAATTTAGACCCAGGGTAGTCCTTTGAAAACTGAGCCGGGTCGTGGAATTTTGATCATGAAACCGGTTCTAAATTCAACAGCATAAAAACACATATGTATGACTTGGTTTTCACAGCTGTAATTTAATTTATAGGCGTTGGGTACGGGGGCGGGGAGCTAGGGATGCGTAGCCCCCCCCCCTCCACTTTAGAAAATTTTAAATCACAATTTTTTCAAAAGTCAGTAACATCAAAACGTACAACTTTTGTACACTCTAAACAAGCATTCCTCGCGACAAATTCTAAACTATATACATTTGTACATCATAGACAACTGCTTTCTCAATAAAAATGGAACTCGGAAATTTTCGTATCTTGTGATAGGTCATCAACAAAAATCACTTTGTTTAAAATCACCGTGATTCTATCAGTATTGTGAAGTTGATATTGAAATTTTTTGCAGTCTTCGGAGACCGGTTCTTACCTCAAAACTTAGAATTTCGATAGGCACCAATTGTGCTCCTTTATTGGCCGACCTGTTTTAATATTTCTATGAAGCAAAATCAGAATATATTTTTACAAACATTTACATGACAATAAGAATACACTTGCTGTGGAGTTCAACTCAACATTTAATTCAAGTAACAATAGTTACTATTAGTTACTTTAGTTCATATGTCGACTCGATATATCCCGGTGAACTTTAAATTAAAGTCACCACTGAATGTCCCACAACTGTTTCATGTTTTGAAGTTTTACTCACTATATGGAAGATGAAGGCCAACTTACTGTATAAGAAAAGAAATGATTTCTTCTTCATCTTTTCCAAAGTGAACATTCCGTATTTGTGAAGTAATATTCTGCTATCACCTGTTTATGGTATGGCGGGTAAAACGTTTCATTATTATACTTTTTTATTCTTATTAAAAAATTTGGGGTTTTTTCCTAAATCATGTCATACCTGTTTGATAAAATATGATTCCTATTTTAATTGTTATTCTTGTGCGAAAAAAAAAATCGATATTTCTGTTCGAGAATTCATCGCCTTTAAGTTGTTATTCTATTCGAAAATATGTGATTCCTATTCGATAATTTTGTCATTTCTATTCGATAATAAAATGATTTATATTCGATAATCATGTTAAACATGTTATTCCTATTTAACTGAGTTTACAACCAGTTCTAGTTTTGTCATATTTCCCAGAATGCAAGTACTGAAAAAAAATAAGAAAAACATCACATAGGAGAGATGAAATTATGCAACAAGATAAGAAGTTTATCAAATTGGAATTGTATTTTTTTCGAATAGAAATGGATGCTAGTTTGTTTTTGAACAAATTTATTGCATGTAAACCAAATCATTATCGAATAAGAAAGATAAAATATCGAATAGGAATGACAAAATTAGCGAATAGGAATCGCATGTTTTCAAATATGAATGACATCGAATAGGAAACGCGTTTTTTCGAAAAGAATGATATAAGTATTATGATATAGGAATCATATTGTCATATTTCCTCCAATGGGAATAGCAATTTATCGAATACAAATTATAAATTATCGAATAGGAATAACAACAAATCGAATACAAATCACATTGTATCGAATAAGAATGATTTGTTTTAGAATTAGAAAAATCTCATTCTCAAGGTTATGCTCCGAAAACGATACAATTTTTAAGCCGAGGCAGGCTAGCTATTGACAGATAAGTTTGTTAAAGGGATTTCACAAACCTTGTTTAAAGTCAACATTAACTTGCATGCTATGGTCGCCATATTGATCTTTTTCACAAATATAACCTATCATTGGATTCATTTTGGCCGATGTGTTTCATTCTAATTTTTAGGCTTTAAATTTTATTTTGTATTTTTATGTTCTGCCCACCTGAATTATCTCACTTTCTAGATACAAGATTTCCAGGATTTTTGTTTTATGCTCGTTTCATAGTTTTGTAGTTATTTATGGATGCTATGGATCTTAGAAAGTATTAACAAAAAATAAATAAGTTGTCATGCTTGAAGATAACTTAAATCGTGTAATTATAAAAATGTACATACATTTATATACGGGTTGATAGGTTTAATTCTATTATTCTTGAAAAGGGAAAAAATTGAAACCGAAATATAAATATAGATAATAATGATACTGATAAATCTCGTAACACAACTTCCAAGTTCAAAAAATATTCTAACTCTGTGGTGGGGTCAATATTCAACAGAGTCAATTTTCAACTTGCTAAGGTCATAAATCTGTTGAAAAATGTCCCCGGGTATAAATTCAACGATTTTAGTCTCAATTTCTAACGGATAAAAAACACCCCCGGTTCAGTATTCAACGTTGAAAAATGAATCCCGGGTCAATTTTCAACTCGGGTCAATACGCATATTCAACGTTACACCGGCTGACGTACTGTTCCTGACATTGCTTTGGAACATTTGGAGCTAGTTAAATTGACTTTAAGTTCATTTTCATTGGTCAATATTACCGGTATGATACATTAATTAATACAGTGCGGTATACTTCCACAACAACTAAAGTCATCGTGCTCGATGTAAATTTATACTATAAAAATATGGAAAGATGGGGAGTATTTTGAAATATGAGTGAAATAATGAAGATAAGTTCGTGCGAAAGGATACACAGGCTTTTCTTGAGAAAAAATGGAGAAAAGGGCAGCATTTTGTAGAATTACGTATTCGAATTGGACATTAGAGTGACATGCTTCTATAGCGTATCAAACTTGACGTAGCGTCGAAGTCGGGTTTCCCAACAATTCATTTTCAGAAAGCTCGTGTGACGTTATTGGTAATTGGAAAGTGGTGAAATTTTCAAATATTGTTGTATTATGATTCTATATTATAAATATGCCTGTTGTTTTCTTTCATTAAATGACGGTAAAATTTTTAAAAGAAATTCCACGAACTTTTGGATCAATCCTCGTATTTATTGATCTCATATTGTCCTTGTTTGAGCATTGCAATTATATATCACAATGAGTATGCAATCAGCATTATTTACAATTATTAAAGTAATAGCTGAATTACCGCCCTTGAAAGGTCAATAATGTAATATCACATCAAATTCAACTTTGGTATTTTACAACAAGTTAATATTTTCCGGAAATGCACTAAATTCTCATTGCAAAGCAATTGCTCTTGCTGTCATGGAGTCATTAAAGTTACTCACATTCCTAGGCATAAGTAAGTTTATGGTTCCATGGTATTATATTGTATTAAATTTTTTATTTTTTTATTAATTTATTTTTAAATTTCAAACTTTAAGGAATCAATTTTCTATCTTAATAACTAACAAAATGTTATAATTATTTTTTTGAGAGAAAGTACTAAATTTATTTTGCATATTAACAAAACATTATGAAATTTCACATTTGAAAATCATTTCTCTAAATGGCGTTCATGGTGTAACACAGATACATGTTGAGCGATGACATCTTGGATATTATCAAAGTTATTCATCTAATTACATGTATTATCACATTAAACTTTCACTCTCTTTTTCAGTTTATATTGTACAGATCTCAGGGCATCGCAGACTGGATGTACGCTTAAAGATAAATAAAATTCTGAACGAGAGAAGAAGAGACATCAGAAACAGCGAACAGCCGACAAACCGTATAGAGGAGCTGTTGATAGATAAATATAATGGCCTAAAAGCTGTGGACAAAGGAAAATCTATCGAGAGTACAAACATTGTCCGACTCCAGGAAACGTACAAAGGCGTTCCCATTTACAATGCTTACATCACGGAGGAAGTTGATTCCGACACGGGTCATTGGACAGGTCAAGTTTCCGGTTCATGGTACGACGATCTGGAGGAGGATATAAAAGAAGTTGTTCCACGTTTGAGTGAGGATCAAGCGTTATCGGTTGCTTTGCTCAATGAGGGATTAAATAATACGTCAATGATATATAAGAGTGAGACTCTCTTGATGATAATGCCAACTGATGACAGAGCAGTTCTGTGTTATGACGTCACAATGACAATTATTGCACCAGGAATAATGAAACGACCAGGATATGTCATTGATGCAAATTCTGGACAAATGCTTTACAGAACACAACGATTACAGAATTCTGGTATTAATGCTGTAGGTGGTAACAAGAAAACACAGAAAATTATTTACGGTGAAGATTTCCCGCCTCTAAAAGTCAAAATTGATCAAGCAAGGAAAAGATGTCAACTTAAATCCAAATACGTACGAGTGTTCGATTTACAAACTGCAACAACACCTTCATCAAAATCTAAGCCATATAAATTTCCTTGCAGCAAAGGCATAAAAGACAATGTAAACGGAGGATTTTCTCCAATGGCCGATGCTTTTTATATGTCAGAGAAAGTCTTCAAAATGTTTGAAGAATGGGCACACGCGCCTCTTGTATCCAAGCCTCCAGTTGATGTATGGGTACATTATGGAAAGTTACAATTTGAGGCTTCATACAATGGAGTAAGTTTAGTGTTTGGTGATGGTGGTAAGTATTATTATCCATTAGTTACGTACGATGTAGTTGGCCACGAGTTTGCTCACATTTTCACCGAGGGTCACTCACATCTCGTGTATGCCAATCAGTCTGGTGGTGTTAATGAGGCATATTCCGATTTAGCTGGCGAAGCCTTAGAATTTTACATCACTGGGACGTTTGATCTTCATATTGGTGCTAAGTCGGATAAAAATGATAATGAAGGGATCCGTGATATATGCAATCAAAATAAGGATGGAAGCTCTATAGTCCATGTGCAAGATTACCAGGATGGAATGGAAGTTCATGATTCCAGCGGAATATTCAACAAAGTGTCATGTACATTGATCAACGAACCCAGTTTGGGACTTAAGATAGTTTTTCAGATCTTTACTCATGCTAACCGGTTCTATTGGGCTCCTCATTCCAATTTTTCGGATGCAGCTTGTGGGGTCCTAAAGGCCACTTATGATCTAGGTCACGATTTAGAAATTATTCGAAAAGCATTCAAGGTAGTGGGAATCGATGTATGCAAAATAGAGTCATACATCCGAAAAATTTACGGGAAAACACACATCAAGAGTTTGACCGCAAAAGGAAAAGAAAATATTGTCTTTGGCTTTGATGGACATACATCTTCTGGTCGGTTTATTCGGATTTTTACAGAGGGTGGATCTGGTGACGTTGATTTATATGTAAATAATGATTTAGATCTGGACAAAACTTTGACAACATACAAATCTTCTTACGTAGGCAACACGGAGGTATTACAAATTCCATTTGAGCAATGTCTGGTGAAAATATGTTATATTCATCTTATTCCTAGAGCTGAAGGCTTTGAAGGAGTTTCTTTTCAGATTGATATTATTTGAGAAAGGAAAGATTTTTTTTACAAATCGAAATATAAAGAATCCATAGTCATCTAAAGACTGTATAGTTCATCTCATATATACATCTGTTAATTAAACATGGATAATGTTATATTGCTGTAGGAAAAGAATGTTGTAAAATTAATATTTATTTATTTTTAAGTTAATTACTTTTCATATTATTATCAGGCATGCTCATGTGACATTTTTTTCTAAAAATACATGTAAGCTATAGTTAGATAAAAATTATTCATGCATATGGTACTTGCGTTTACTTTGTACAGTATGTTCAGTACATGTATTAAATACTTTACATTACATCCATGTAAATTACGTTTTACTACATGGAAAACCCAATAGAAAATTTTTGGTTTGTGCTATCATCATTATATCAATACTGCATGTAGCATGCAGCCAAGGTTGACAATGGTTTTCGAGTGATGACAATTTTCAATGTTTCACTCAACTACAAGCAATATTTATTATATTTCACTAAATGTTTTATAGAAATACATATAACAGTGAACCGTGGGCGCATAAATTCTGCGCAGTCGCTATTTTTTGGAATATCACTGGCCGTACGTCAAGCAATGTTGACTGTTGCTACGCTGGAGGGCGTGGCTTCATTATTCAACGGGTAATAGTGTTTTTTAACAAAATGTTTCTCGAACAATCGGATTCAACTAATTTACCTGAAAGTATATTAATATTTAATAACAGATATAGAGACCATCTAATGAAATATTAATTTAAGGTTCATCGATACTCTGATAAGAGAGATAACTGTAAATGATGACAAATGTCTTTCATTCCTTTGTGGATTTGCCAAGTTTTCAAAGTGTTTTTTTTGTCCAATTTTGCCCCGCAAGCTATGCTATAATTGTTTGTTTTTTACTTATCAAATACATTTCTTTTGGAAAGTCATTAAGTTTCAAGCAACATTTTAGATGAGTTAGCAGAGCGTTTATGAATCTTAATATTCTAATCTCATGTACAAGTAAGAAAATATAATTATACTTGTAAATACAGTAAGTTCGATATAACCAAGGTTTCTACATATTGGAGGTAAATTACTTAATAATAAATAAAATTCATTTTGGTCGGGATTTTCAGATCACTTCTACTTATCCACGGTATTCGACATATCAGTTTTCGGGATGCAAAAGTTGAACAGTTACAGTACTATATTTCATGTTACCCCCGTCTCTATATTTTTAGTTCTAAAAAATTCTGAAAAAGACAATAAAAATATAATTTATTAATACCAATTTTATTAAAAAAACAAACAAACGCTGAACCCTGTGTTGTTTTCGACGATAATGTTATTATCTAGTACTGCTTGAAAAAAAAATGGAGCGAATTGTATGGTAACCGTCTATTTTAATGGGGTCATTGAAAATTGCGCGAATTATTGGATTTTGTTCCAGATACTGGCACCAGCAGAGTTACTTCTACAAAGCAGTTTTACGTATGTCTAACTGGACAAACGGGCGATTTACCATCGTGTTACCAGGACAAACAATTTCTTTAACAAGTATTTCTATAAAAGTAGATCCGCCTCCCCAAAGCCTCGACAGTGACCAAGAAAGTGGATTTCTGCTCGGTTTTGGATTTAAACAACTTAAACATGAGGGAGAAAAGGTAGATAGTTACTTAAACTCGGCCATCGCAACTTATGATGTAACCAGAGATCTAAATCTTGCAAACATTGATGGTTTGAACGTAGCTTACGTACTGTTTGGGGAAAGTGAAAGTAGGCCTAGATTTCCTGTCATTCGAGGTGTGGCCCTGTATTCGGGAAACTGGCCTAGTGCAGATATACCAAAATGGCAATTTAATCTGGATAAAGAAAAGACACCAGTGATAAAGGAAATATTTCAGAAATATGGAATAGATACATTATTTCGAATAAGTTGTTTTCCCAAAGAAAACGGAACAGATTGTAGGAATGAAAACAACATTGAAGTGCTGCGATATGACGGCGATCTGTCTCAATCAAGTACAGCTGTACAAAATGCAGAGTTTCAACGATGCGATTCAAATCCAGTCTCAACCTCCCCGGTGTTTGACAGGGAATTATATTGCCCCGTTTTCCACAGTCTAACGCGGACACGGTCCATTTTGGAAAAGGTACGTACATGTTTACAATATACAATGTAAATGATTAATAAACATAATTAGTCTTGTAAATTTATCATGATGGAGGGGGCGGGGGCACAATAGAGATTTTAGAAAATCTTGCAGGTAAAAAAAAATGCTCATTAGTAGTCAAATTGAATTGAAATTATTAGCTGCAGCAAAATGTATTCTTTGCTGCATATCATATTGACTCTGGGATTTTGTCTAAAACCTTAATATTCTACCATCAGGCCTAGAGATCTAGCATAATTAGGTATTCCATTAATTAAAAAATAATTTCAGTCCACAGTATGCATCAGAGAGGCAGAGGAACTCCTTCGAATTTATGATGCCACTGTCCCAACAGACTTTAGCCTCAAAGATCTGAAGAAAATGATGAAATTTCCATTTGTTGTGGTGGAGGGACTTGATGCTACTGGTAAGTTCAATACTGACTAAACCAAACATGATAATGATTTGCTTTTAGAAAAAAGTTATTAAGAGGTATATATAAGTATATGACAAGGGGATTTTTTTCAGATCTGATTATTTATGACTTTTATGGAAAAATTTTAATTCCTCTCTGTTATGGAGAACATCAGAGGCTCATACTTTATCACAAAAATTGCATGTGATGGGGGCGGGTGGGGGTGGGGGAGGGGGGTATTGATATTGACTACGGTCATTACAGCAAGTTCAAGGTGACTGGCAGAAAAAGTGTATTTGTTTCTAACTTTTATTAGGTCACCTGAGTAAACTCAGGTGACCTATTGCTATCCGTTTTCGTCGTCGGTCCGTCGTTCGTCGTCCGTCGTGTGTTAACATTTGAACATTTTCAGCTTCTTCTCTGCAACCACTGAACCAATTTCAACCAAATTTGGCACAAAGCATCTATGGGTGAAGGGGAACAAAAATTGTGAATTTCATGATCCCTGGCCCCCCTGGGGCCTGAGGGGTGGGGCCAAAACCACTAAAATTAATGCAATCTTTAAAAATCTTCTTCTTTACTCCTGGACATCAAGCAGTCAAACTGTTTGCATGATTGTAATCAGCATTGAGTCCTTTACCAAAATTGTGAAATTCATGGCCCTGGGGTCAGGGGTTCTAGTGCTAGGGCGGGGCTAAATAAGTATATAGTGAAAATGCATTATTTCTTTGGAAATCTTTTTCTCTACTCCTGGGTATTAAATAAACCAACTAAGTACATAGTTATGATGAGCAAGAGTGCCTCTACCAAAATTGTGAATTTTATGGCCCCAGGGTCAGGGGTTCTGGTGCTAGGGCGGGGCTCTATTGATTATATAGTGAAAATACATGATTTCTTTGAAAATCTTCTTCTCTGCCCCTGGGTATTAAATAAACTAACTAAGTGCATAGTTATGATGAGCATGAGTGCCTCTACCAAAATTGTGAATTTTATGGCCCCAGGGTCAGGGGTTCTGGTGCTAGGGCGGGGCTCTATTGATTATACGAGGGTTGTCCCATAAAATCGTGGACAAAACGTTTTTCTCGAAAAGTAATGGGCGCACTAAGTTGAAATTTTCAGTAAATGTTTATTTATCATATTCGAGTGCATGATAATTTTTTTGATAAAATATAGGCAAAAATAAAGATTTTATTATGCTTGAATGAGCACGGGGTATTGTCCTACGGCGCACGGTCAAAAATCCAAGGTTTTATTAAAGAATACACAAGTTTGAATTCAAAATAAAAGTTTTAAATACATGTGATTTGGATTAAAATTATCCTAATTACATTCCACAATCAATTTTGTAGTCTTTGTAAAAATTTCAAAACATTTGGTTAATTTTTGGCAGTTTCTCGAGCATTCGAAATGGGAAAGTGGTAAACACAACACACGAAAAATGGCGACGTTTTATGACGTTACGGCGCACCGGAGAGCAGTTGAGTTTTATTTCGATGACACCTTAAGAGACTTGAAATGACCATAAAAGAAAAAAGATTATAAAAATATCCCCGTTTCTTAAGTATACAAATGAAATGGGAGTTTTCTTAGTAAAGTCTTGTCTTTTTTTGATCAAGTCCCTGGGGAGTACAAAACATACGGACAAACTCCTATTGTTATAGCAAAAGACGCTGTCACAGTACGTGGACCGCCGATATGAGATTTTCTATTAGTTGAATGATGGTGAGAATATTGTCCGTAACTTACTAATAAATCTTCAGAAGATGGAATGATGGTGCCAATATTGGTTCTTCGACTGTTTATGGAGACTAAAGAATGAGTATCAATGAATTCCTAAATTTAAGTCGGACTCATCCAACTTCATTTTCAACAAAGATAAAACGTGACGCTGTTTTAGACACTCTGACGTTATAATCCATGCGCCGTAAAGTGATACAATACCTGACATAAAATCTCATAATTTCTTTATTTATGCATATATTTATCTGAAATTTGCTGTGTATATTACTAAAAAATGTACTAAATAATAGTGAAAACTTCAGAGCGCAGTGATGTTTATTTTTCACACTAGACAACTTGTCCACGATTTTACGGGACAACCCTCGTATATAGTGAAAATACATGATTTCTTTGAAAATCTTCTTCTCTGCCCCTGGGTATTAAATAAACTAACTAAGTGCATAGTTATGATGAGCATGATTGCCTCTACCAAAATTGTGAATTTTATGGCCCCAGGGTCAGGGGTTCTATCATTAGGGTGGGGCTCTATTGATTATATAGTGAAAATACATGATTTCTTTGAAAATCTTCTTCTCTGCCCCTGGGTATTAAATATACTAACTAAGTGCATAGTTATGATGAGCATAAGTGCCTCTACCAAAATTGTGAATTTTATGGCCCCAGAGTCAAGGGTTCTGGTGTTAGAGGGGGGGGGCTCTATTGATTATATAGTGAAAATACATGAATTCTTTGAAAATCTTCTACTCTGCTCCTAGGTATTAAATAAACCAACTAAGTGCATAGTTATGATGAGTAAGAGTGCCTCAACCAAAATTGTGAATTTTATGGCTCAAGGGTTCTGGTGTTAGGGCGGGGCTCTATAGATTATATATAGTAAAAATACATGAATTCTTTGAAAATCTTCTTCTCTGCTCCTAGGTATTAAATAAACTAACTAAGTGCATAGTTATGATGAGCATGAGTGCCTCTACCAAAATTGTGAATTTTATGGTCCCAGGGTCAGGGGTTCTGGTGTTACTGGGCAGGGCTCTATTGATTATATATTGAAAATACATGAATTCTTTGAAAATCTTCTTCTCTGCTCCTAGGAATTAAATAAACTAAGTACATAGTTATGATGAGCAAGAATGCCTCTTTTAAAATTGTGAATTTTATGGCTTTAGGGTCAGGGGTTCTGGTGTTAGGGGGGCGGGGCTCAATTGATTATATAATGAAAATACATTAAATCTTTGAAATTTTTTTCTTTGTCTCTGGGTATAAAGCAGATGAACTACCTTTATAGTTATGATGAGCAAGGGCCCTAATCTTGCAGAATTGTGAATTTCAAAGCCCCAGGGTCAGGGGTGGGGTGGGGGCTCTACTTATATACTGAAAATGAATTTTTTGTTTGAAATCTGCTCTTTTGTATTTATAAAACATTTATTTTTTTATATTAAGGGTGCCTTTTTGAAATTTGTGCAATGTGTGGACCTAGGGTCAGGGGTTTATGTCACAGTGTTAGGGGCACTACTGGTTAGTTGGAATGCATTTTTGTTCCCCTACCCTGCATATGGGTATTCAGTAACCAAGCTAAGCAACTGCTAAGTGTATTGTTATGATGATCAATGGTGCCTCTTTCAAAATTGTGAATGTCATATAGCATCTGGCTTAAAACATGAATCAAATTCAATAACTGGAAAATTGTTGCATAATGCTCAGGTGACCTATAAGGCCCGTGGGCCTCTTGTTTATCAAATAGAGACTAACTGGAAGTTGATTCTTGACAAACAATAAATTTGGCAATTACAAATCTTATTTTTTTTTATAAACCACAGTTGATGTAACTGAAAAAAATTGTTTTAAATAGGGAAGACCACCTTGACTGAAACACTGGAGAAGAAAATGGCTGCATGTAGATATTTTACACCTCCTCCCCCAATACAGCATCTGAGGAAACGTTTTGATGACCTTCCAGAAATCGTCAGAAGGGCCTACTATTCCATTGGCAACTATATTGTTTCCATAGCAATACTAAAAACGTGTCAGGAAAAACCTGTTATCATGGACAGGTTAGTGCAGACATGAAATCAGAGAAAGTTTTGATGTGAAATAATTAAAAAACATGTATACATCAAAAGAGCAGGAAAAACTCATTCAGATATCATGTCTCAGAAAATGTTCTTATATTTTATGCTGGTGATTGAAATAGAAAGGCAGATGTGTAGTGTTTGAGGCAAATTTATAATTGTTTAAGCAAACTTGAATTATTGTTAATCCCAAAATTGTTAATTGCAGAATTGTTAATCCCTAAATAACAGTTTTCCCCTTCTGCTCTAGATTCTGGCACAGTACTGCAGCTTATGGTATAGCCAATGAAACAAGCAATGAAGACATTCCATTGGAAGGCCACTGGGTGTATAAGTGGCCCAGTGACCTTTTAACCCCAGACATTGTCCTCTTTCTGACAGTCAGTGAGGAGATCAGAAAGCAGAGGATGCTGTTAAGAGGAGGGGAGAAAACTCAAGAAGAAAAACATCTAGATAAAGATAGACTGTTTAGAGAAAGGTAAAATCTTCAAACAGTCAGGGTTCTCCATGAGCTGTTTTACTGTGTTGCTCCTGACACAGCAAAATTTTCTCTGACACAGTAACAATTCAAATTTTATGCGTGCAACACAGTAAAAATTTTGCCGACACAGTAAGATCTGTGATATTTAGAAAATCCAAACATATAAATCCTCTCTAACTGGAGCTTTAATCAAACAATTCTTCCATCCTTCAGTTCTAAAATGTAGAGCACTTATATGTAATTAGTAGGGCTTCACCTTGCATAATCAGTTATCTCCTAGACCCTCGCCTTCACACTTCCATGTCATGGTTAATTGGTATTGGCATTAAAATAGATTGTACTTTTAAAAATATTTGAATATGTCTTTTCTATAGAGCCACGGATGTAAAGTATTATGTTAGCACTGTAAGTCAAACATAAAATCGTACCGAAGTCATTTAATTGATGTAAATAAATTGCTGAAAATTTTCAACATGTTCAAGGAACTCTTAAAAGTAATTTTTTATTCTAAAGTTTCTTTTTCTGTAATTCGGTAATTCAATCAAGAAAACTGACAAATAAACAAAATTACTTTAAAAAATGTTTCATGTAAGTACAACTGTATCGAACAGAATTTCCTCTGCTTTTCAGTACATGTGCTTTTACTTTTATCAATATGTACGACCATTCCATTTGTGTAACGAATTAGCGATTTTTAAATAAGTGTAAGAATGTATTCTTTTGTAATTATAATGAATAGTGATTCAGTTGCAAATTTGATCGTGAAAATACTACGAAATTTCAGTGTTTTGCGTAAACTTTGCAACACAGTAAAATTTTAAACGATGGAGAACCCTGAAACAGTTGAATGTACAACTGATTGAAATTTTACACATTCTTGATAATCTAAGTTTAATTTCATGCTTTTGCTAAATATGAAAGTGAGGAATCATTTAACACAGTCAAATAAAGGAAGTTTTAAAAAATTTTAATGACACTTTACTCAAAAAAAAAAACCGTGTACCCTTGTGCAAAGGAAGTAAAAATAGTGATCAAGTCAAAATTCAATAATATTGCGTATATTTTTTGGATACTCTTAATTAGTCTGTAATTGCTGTAGATTATACCTAGCCTACAAGAGAATGGAGGAGCCTAGCTGTATAGAAATAGATGCCAGTGGGTCCATAGAGACAGTTCTGGAGGCAGCAGAAAAGGAGTTGGCAAAGCACGGGGTCTATCTAGACCAGAATGAAGCTAAATGATGCATAATGCATATCTAAAGAAATCCACAAAATACATGTACACACAGTATAATTTGTTAAAACCCATAATCTGTGTTCTCAGGAATTTTGGAAATTTCAGGGTGACAGCTAAACAGTATTATTCCAATGTACTTCCTGAAAAAATTGATTTAATAAGAAATTGCATACAGTATTATCTGGTTAACACATTTAATATCTTGGTTCTCAGGAATTTAGGCAATTTCAACTTTTAAAGTTCTAATATAAATCAGATATGTACTTCCTTAAAATATGTTTTTTTTAATATTTGGTGTTGTCCAGACACTTCCTGTTATGTATTACAAAGGCCCTATTGGTCCCAACTGCTTCATAATTATTGGTTATTATTTTCTCTAGTCTGAACTCACACTAATTGTACCTTATTGTCACTTCAATGTAATTAACAACTTTCAAGATATATGTTTAATTAACAACTGTTATGATAAATGTGTTTTTACATAAGTGTCACAAGATGAATGACCTGGTAGTGCCACATCCCTTTTTAGAAAAAATATTATAAGGTAAAGTTACAAGTGAAATAAATATTGCTTTTAATAACTTTGAAACATACAGTTGCATGTAATATCAAGGACAGTGTACAAATGCACTTTTTTTACAAATCAAAATATAAATTAGGATCAAAACTCAGTCTTTGTTATATTTGAAATGGCACCTAGCATCAGTGGGATGACTGAAATATTTACATAGAAATTTTAATGACAGTTAAAGTGTAATCTTATTTTAAAGATGTCTGTTTATTGTTAAGTTTGAATGCTTTTTTTGAACTGAAAACTTTCTTTTATACAAAGTACAGATTTTGAAATTCAAGTTAAAATGTGAACCCTTGAACTTTGTGAACAAATAAGAAAAATTGACAAAACATCATGTCAGAGTGTATTCTTGAACAATTTCTGAACTTAAAATATGAAATGATCTTATCATTAATCATATTTTGCCATCAAATGCATTGTACTTGTAAAAAAAACAATGGAAATAAATTTCAAATATTTTCAGCCAACTTAAGTGGAACTGGTTTTATTTCGTTGGAAAAACTATACTGTGTGAACCATATTTTCTGAATAGAAAACTAAATTTGGAAGTAGTACTAGTGTATAGTTTTAAGAATATTTTCAGTATGTTATATAATTATTAAGAAATTAAGGTCAAAGGGGTGATGTCTAATTCGCTGCTGGTTATGTTAAAGTTCTTACAAAATGCATACTTTTAATTTGATTCAAACATACATTTAAAACTGTTCAAATTGAGCTATTTTTATTTTTAGATGTAATATGCATTTCTACCTTTATTTAAAAAATAAGATGATGTGTTTGTGAAACACTGACCCCCATATGGCAACACAGTGAATTTCAAGGTTAAACTTTCTCAAATGCAAATCAAATATCTTGGTACCCAAAGTTAGGCCTTCTCACAAAAACTACAATTGTGAAATTTTGAAGCCCTAGCACCACCTGTTCAAAATTATGGCCAAGGTTAAAGTTTTTAAAAGATTGTCAAACTTCAAGGTCAAAGTGTTTAAGTTGGTTTCTAATGAAAGGATTACAAATGTGAAGTATGAAAGCACACCCTAGCCATTCAAAAGTTATGGCCAAGGTAAACGTTTTTAAAAATAGGTCAATCTCCAAGGTCAAAAGATCAAAGTTGATATCCAATGGAAGGTCTCATCACAAGTATGTAAGCCCTAGCACAAAATGCATTACAAATGTTAAAGCCAAAGTAAAAGTATGTTTTTTTTTCTATGTAAAAGCATGTCAAACTCCAATGCCAAAAGGTCAAATTTGGTGGTAACCAAAGAAAGATCTTGTCACAAGAAAAACACTTGTGAAATATGATAGCCATAGCTCTACTCAGTCAAAAGTTATGGGCAATGCTAAAGTTTTTGCAAACAAACAGACAGTTTTTGCAAACAAAAAGACTAACTGACGACAGGGCAAAAACTGTACCACAGGGGCATATTTTTTTTAGTTTTATACTCTTGGACTTTTCCATTTTAACATCTGCTTTTCATCAGAGGCATTAATGTCACACAGCTTATTATACCCCCGCAAACGAAGTTTAGGGGGGTATATTGGAATCACCATGTCCGTCTGTCTGTCTGTCTGTAGACAAGATTTTGTCCGGACCGTTTCTCAGAAACTATTGGATGGATTTGTCTGAAAGTTTGTACACTTATTATTCACCATATGAAGGTGTGCACCTGGTATTTTCATCATGATTGGATGATTTTTCTGCATTTTACAGGCATTTTTTCGTTTTAAATTTATTTTGTTGTTTTGTTTGGCTCATAACTAGAAAACTATTAGACTTACAATCATCAAACTTGGCCAATTTATGCATCTTGGGTAGAAGGTGTGCCATGACCTATTTCAAGGTCACTGTGACCTTTAATTAAAGTGAAATTTAAAAAAATAACTGTCTTTCACTATTGAATTAAACAATCCAAAAAATGTAAGAATGTTGCAGTATCCCTATTTAAAACATGTTAAATTAAGAAAAAAAATTTTTTTTATTATATACTTTACAGCAATCCATAACAAATGTTATTTTATAAGAGAAAATCTACCTCTCCCAAGGGTATAATTATGAAGCACTGGTCAAGGAGAATTTTGATAACATAAAATTGCATGTCAAATTAGAGAGAAATTAATTAGTTTAGTGTAAGGAGCTAACTTGAAGAACATTTCTGATCAAGAACTTGTTATCTGTCTCTTGGGAACTGGGCTAAGGAATCAGCCCTAAATAGTTTTAGTGACTAGCCTAACTTATTGAATGAATTTGAGAAAAAGCAACTTCAATCTAATTTGATATTGTATAATAAACTAATTTGAAATTGTATAAAAAACTTAATTGATATTGTATAATATAATTAAAACTAATTATATTGTGTGTGTATGTGGGGGTGGGGTGGGGGGATTTGAATCAGCATGCTCATTCTCCACATTAATTTCAGATTGAAACTTTCAGTATGATATAAAATCCAAATAAATCAAGTATTTAAAAAAAACCAGTAAATTTTGTTAGATAGTCCCTACAAATCTTAAGAATCATGCAAGAACCTTATTCAAAATGATGCATCAAGATTACACAATTTTTTTTTCAGCATAAATCTTTGTAACAAATTTATACAAAATCTTTGTTTTCAAATTTAATTTCAGAATGACACATGCAATAATGCATTTTGCAATAATGCATTTTGTTTGCACTACAAAGGAAAACTTAAGATCCATTCATCCCTTGATAGCAATTAGTGGGCATGCATCCAGTAAAAGATTAATTAATGAGTTCTATGTAGGGAAGCTTAAGCTGTCTCAATCATTTCTGTTAGAGCATATCTCTGATCAAGGAGCTTTTATCTGTGTCCTTTGGGAATTAGACAAAAGAACTGCTGGTCAGTTTAAATAGCATTTGTCATTTGATGGCCAGTCTCCTATTTCTAAAATCAATTTGGTATAGATCAAGTTTTTAAGCTATAATGCAACCAGTTGATGATTATTTGTTATAATTAAAGCTTGCACCACAGGAGATGTTTAAACAATTGTTATAAGGAATGGAAAAATTACGCAAATCCCTTTAAAGGTTGACATAATTTTCTTGCACTCTAAACTGTTTATAATAATTGAATGAACAATATTTGATGGGAGTATCATGCTGAGGCTGACTGCACTTTATTATTTTTAAAATGAATTTGATATAAATTTATATAGATTAATTTGATTCTGTATAATGTTTTTTCAACAATCAATTTGCAGAGTATCATGACAAATAGTTGCAATTTATTTTTTCAGTGAAATAAAAAACTGTTACAATGTGTTAGTATTGATGTTTTATTTGGTTGCACCTCAGTTTCATTAATTAAAAAAATATATATATAATGAGCTCTCAAATTGTTTCTGAGAAAATAGTGAACACCTCTTAATAGATCCATAAATATTTGTGAATTTGCACCTACTCTGAAAAACTCAGCGGGGGTATTTGTCCCTATTGGACAGTTCTAGTTTTTTTCAGTGAATGTCTCTGGAAATATTTGCATTTGTATATACTAATTACATATATATTAATTACAGTAAACTTTCCTTTGCTTTGTTTCTATTAAATCGAAATCCATTTCCTGCATTTATAATAAGATTGTGATATTTTGACTAAAAAAACTTAAAATATATTCTGCTAATCTTTTTTAGTTTCTTACGTATACATGGCTGTAGTTTCATAATATCAAAAAGAAAGTTTGTATCACCTGTCCTAATAGTTTATTCTGAGGTAAATGAACAGTAGCAGATCAAAGATAGGTCACCTCGATACAATACTACAATAGAAAGAATAGCATGTTCTATTTTTTTTGTTCCACTGGTCAGATGATAGAAGAGTCTATGCCATACTTAGTTTTTCACCCGTCTGTAAACTCTTTTTTTCCAAAACGCTACTCTTCCTACAGTTTTGGTTCAATTTTAATACAACTTGGCACACAAGTAGACTGAAGCAGGGTACACAGTGAACTCTGTATTATAAATATTGTTTTTTTCAATTTGGACCATTGCTTGTCAGAAGGATACACTTGCAAGAAATGAAAGCAATATATCAAACTGATCAAATAGTTATGAGCTTGATTAAAGTTATTATGAACAAACAGAGAGCTAATCGGCTATATAAAAACGGACAGGGCAAAGCAAAAAAAGTATGCCCCGGATTCCTTGATTATACATGTACTTTCATGTTAATTAGTTGAATCTGATTCGTCGAGCTCGAGAACCATTTGTTAAAAACACTTTAACCCGCTGAGTAATGTAGTAGGAAAACGTTAAAGAATTTTCTTTTAATATTTACAATTTATTATGTTGAAAAATGTACAATACTTTATTATCGTATCCTTTTCTTGATTTCTTTATGCAATTTTGTCATTATTCGGCGCAGCATTTTGACAAAACCAAGACAAGTATGGAAAATGTGCAAAGTACCTAGAAAAATACTCATCTGTAAGAAGTCAATTTAAAAATTTCAACCAAACAGTATCAAAGAAAGTTCGATTAATTAATTTGTAAATAACTATGATAGAATCATACAAATTTAATATCTTACAATTTATAAATAAATTTCCTTTTAGAAAATTGACCTCACAAACTTAAGATAATGGTTTTAGAGAATATGCACCTTT